GATCGCTCTCTCGACCAGCAGACAGATTCCCTGACATCTTCGGGCGATCAGAACTCCTGAAAATGTACCCATATCTTCTGCCGTGCTCTATTTCGGCATTTTTTACATCAATAGCTTGGTTAGTCACGCATGTCTGTCTTAAAGAGGTGAGCGCGATGTTGAAATCCCATCTCTGGATCAGACTAAGTGTGGTCACAAGAGCGTTTCCACCAGGACACCGCTTTTGGAGCTAATCAAAGGAGCATTCTTCGGACAGTCGTATTTGAAGTCTCGCCAGCCATCGAGCAATGTTATAGTTGATCCTGGGGAGGCGAATGCTGGAGAAGTTCAATCAAAGCCGCTTTCGCTGCGTGCTTTACTAACCCCGAAAGTGTTGAGCGTAACAGCAAGTTATGCCACGACAGGCATGCTTCAAATGTCGCTCAGTTCGGTCCTACCTATTTTCTATGCAACACCAATTGAACTTGGTGGTCTTTCCCTTGACCCTTCTCGCATCGGCACGTTGCTCGCGGTACAAGGTGCCGCACATGGCGTATTTCAGCTACTTTTCTACGCTCGTTTGCATGATCGCTTCGGCGCAGGAGCTATCCATATGACCGGCGTTAGCTCCGGCATACCCACCGTCATTTTATTTCCAGTGATCAATACTCTGGCTCGAGTCTATGGAATAGGTATGGCTGTATGGCTGTGTGTTTCCGTCCAGCTTGCGCTGACGACTAGCCTGATCATGTGCTACCGTATGTCAATCCAACATTTCCTGCGTTCCGCTACACTAAGAATCTCGTAGCCTGCATAACATTATTCATCAGAGCAGCTGCTCCCAATCGTGCCTCAGTCGGAGCAACCATTGGAATAGGCCAGGTGGCTGTCGCGGTAGCAAGAATCATTGGTCCGGCATCTGCAGCTTCGGTCTTCTCTTACTCAATAGAGGCAGGGCATGATGCGTGGTTGATATATTACTTTTTGATCACAATTGCATTTCTCGCAGTAGGTACTTCTCTATTACTTCCCCATGATCCTAGTGTATGGGAAGATTCCCAATAACATTATCGCGAATGTCCGCGTGTCATCTAGTGTATTAGGGGGTGGAACTGGCAAAATTCTAGGCTACGTAGACTACATGCATGTAAGTATGACATTCCCAATGGATAGCATTGATGTTGCCTCGTCCCATTCATCATCTAGAATAGTCGGCCCGTGGTATTATTTACTTGACCCGATTCAACCTCGAGCATTTACATAAGCTCTGAACTTTTTAGTCCTCTTACTAGCGCTTTACCTTTTCGAGAGCTGCAAATTCAGCAGCAACAAACTCCACACGACTTAACAAGATACTGTACAGTCTCACAGCAATTAATAATTGCCAACCTCTTCACGAGTCCGCATATGAACATGTTGATGGTGGCATACTCCGTGGCTTTTACGATACAGTGTCATCGAGACGTCGAAGGTTTGTACGGTGTTTCAAATGTATCGACCGAAAGACTACACATGATTGTATGGATTGCACCAAGATCATGTTCACACTGCGCTCCACTTTGCGTGAGTTCTGCCGTGGACTAGGCACAACTGATTTTTGCCAGACCGGTTGGCAAAACCACCGCATTCTGCCAACAGCACTAGTTCAATGACCGCGTGTTATCTGTTTACCATGTCAGTGCATCCTCCGGGTGTGACAAAATACTTTATTCAGGCAGAGACCTTCCCTTGTTACCGAAGATATCTTCCTTCCTAGGAGCATTCTGAGCGCTTTCAAGGAAAGATGGTGGATGTAATTCATCATGTTCCTCCCACGCCATGTCAAATCCATATCCCCACCGGCTCTCGATATCCCCAATAATCGAGAATCCGGACAACACATTCTTTACAAGGCGTAGAGATGCGGATTGCACGAAAATTCTCAAGTCCAGGCGATTACGACACTGACCAATTGGGTACAATACTGACATGCATGGTAGAGGAACTACAAGGCCAGCTAGCTCATCATGGCCCTGCGGCTTTCGTGACTTCCGCTTTTGCTACCATGTTTCATAACAGAGAAGATGCTTTGCTTTGTATTGTTATGCCTCGTGTGCTGAACGTTTACATTGGCCGCAGCTCGGGTACGTACCAGCCTAACCTAATGCAGACCTGCCCGTGCTTCTGGATCACAACGATAGTTTCCTTTACGTTCAAGTGGGCCTTCACCAGTTTCCAAAAGCATGTGGACGATCTACCCTTCGACTAATCCGAGCCAAGGAGCCACTCAATTGCCGACTCATTTGCATAAGTTTAATAGACTGCGCCCAATCGTCCATCTTTCTCAGATACCACCATGACAACGCGTCAAGATGATGAAGAGACTCCTCTTCTCCAACAGCCAGACCAGCTGGTAGCCCGAACTTCACCTCTGCCATGGGATCAATTCTGGATCATATTATTCTTGCAGCTTTCCGATTCGCTTGTCGTTCAGACTCTTGCCCCATTTACCCCTCAAGTGAGTATATCCCTTCTGCGTGGATTTGAAAATCTAACTGCAATTGGAAGCTGATCAGAGACATTGGTGTGACGAACGGAGACGAATCTCAAGTTGGACACTATGTTGGCATCCTGGTGAGCACGTCATAATCCTTTTTGTCCTGCGCTCGTTCCTTATATCGTTCCGAGCAATCATCATATTATACGGCTCAAGCACTGACTATCCTCCCTTGGAGCCAACTGTCTGATCACATAGGGCGGAAACCTGTGATTCTGACTGCTCAATTCGCAATGTCGATTTCAATGTTCTCGTTTGGGCTATCGAAAATTTTTGTCGGTCTGGTAGTCAGGTTCGGGTGTTCAATAACCGCTAAACTGTCAAGCACTCATTGACTTTTCAGTCGTGCTTTCTGCGGGGCATTTAATGGAAGCAATGGGGTCATCAAAAGCATGGTGATGGACATCACTGACACAACTAACTTGCCGAAGGCATTTAGCTATATGCCGCTCCCATGGATGTTGGGGACCTTAGTTGGGTAAGTTTATAAAGTACCTCTTGCTATTGAAACGAGATTCACGACAGTCTAGACCCCTCGTTGGTGGATCGCTCTCCAGACCCGTGGACAGATTCCCTGAGATTTTTGGGCGATCAATACTGCTGCAAATCTACCCATACCTCTTGCCATGCGCTGTTCCAGCTATATTCGCCCTGGTGGCTTGGCTAGTCGCGTATTTTTGTTTCAAAGAGGTGAGAGACATTTTTTGAAGACCATGTCTGGATCACACTAAGTGCGGTAACGAGAGCGTTTCAACAACGACACCACTTTGGAAGCTGACAAAAGGAAGGCTCTTGCGACAGTCATATGCAAAGCCTTTTCCGCCATCGAGAAATGCTCTGGCCGTTCGTGAGGTAGCGAACTCTGAAGGAGTAGCATCAAAGCCGTTGCCACTGTGCGCCTTGCTAACTCCAAAGGTCCTGACTGTGACAACAAGTTATGTCACCATGACTCTGCTTTACATGGGATTCAGTTCGGTTCTACCTGTTTTCTACTCGACGCCGATTGAACTCGGTGGTCTTTCCCTTGATCCTCCCAAGATTGGTGCTATACTTGCGGTATCAGGTGTCGCGCATGGTGTATTCCAATTACTTTTCTACTCGCGGCTACATGATCGCTTCGGTGCAGGAGCCATGCATGTTACTGGTGTTGTCTCTGGCATACCTATCATCATTTTATTCCCGGTGACCAATGCGCTTGCTCGAGTCCATGGCCTGGGTTTGGCGGTATGGCTGTCTGTTGGCGTTCAACTTTCGCTGGTAACTAGCTTGATCATGTGCTATCGTATGTCAACCAACCACTTCCGGGATCTTACTTTACTGAGAAGTCGTAGCCTGTTTAGTATTGTTTATCAGAGCCGCCGCTCCCAATCGCGCATCGCTTGGAGCGACCAATGGAATTGTCCAGCTAGTTGTGGCAGGAGCAAAAATCGTTGCCCCAGCATCTGCAGCTTCGGTTTTCTCTTATTCGATGCAGGAAGGTCATGACGCATGGTCGATATATTACTATTTGATGGCATTTGCATTTCTCGCTGTAGGCACTTCTCTCTTACTTCCTCGTGATCCTAGTCTATGGGAAGATCACCAATAGTATCGTCACTAGTGATCTGCATGTTGTCTGTTTTTAGCCATGATGTTCAGTAATAGGTGGTATATAGCGCGGCAGCCAAACAGAGATATTTTCGCGTCCTTAACTCCTTGCAGTATTGCAGGCTTTTCTGGTGAGTTGTGACTCAAAGTGAGGTAGCAACTTGCAATTTTATGTGGGCATACCTGTTTACGAAAAGAATACCAAAAGCAGCTACGGCGAAAGGCATGGTGAAATTCAAACACAGGGCAGGCTACCACAATCCAGACGAATCCATTAGCATTAAGTTTCTCCAGGGATACAATCACAGTGTCACGGTGGTCTGGCGTGTCTACTGCCTCTAGAAATAGGCGAATGTAGATCAAACGTTCAGGCCACGCCGCGATTGGAATACCCCGCACGTGATGAGAGTTTCAACACTGCAGATTTCAAATTAAATCTGCAGTCCAACACTTGTCTACTACATATAAGACGCTCAATGGCCACTGGCGAGAGTCCCTCGAACTCACTGTCGTCAACTTTACCGGCTGGATATCTGAAATAGCAATTGTGGTGCGTCCGTGATGCCATTAGGCTGCTACTTGCGCTCGGTCGGCTTTCTTTATCAGTTTTCGTACCGAAACAGGTAACTGACTACGGGCCATCAGAGAACCTGTGAGAAGAAGATATCGTCATATATCGTTATATATCGTAATATATAGGAAAGGTTTTCGTCACATTGTAATATAAAGTGATATAAAGCAATATATGTCCATGTAAAAGCACCATAATCAGCATAATCCCCAGCAAGAACTCACCGGTTTACTGATGCCCCCCACTTATCAATGAATCCCATCAACAGCCAGCTCATTATGATTGAAGAGTGTGATAGGGCTGTCTTCTTCTCGTACCACCATAATCATGCGTCAGGATGATGAAGAGACTCCTCTTCTGCAACAGCCGATAGTCAAGACACCTTTGCCCTGGGATCAATTCTGGATTATATTGTTCTTGCAGTTTCCAGACTCGCTTGTTTTTCAGACCCTTGCCCCATTTACCCCGCAAGTGAGTACATTCGCACTGCTTGGACTTACATCTGACCACATTTTGTCAAGCTGATAAGAGACATTGGTGTGACGAACGGAAACGAATCTCAGGTCGGACACTATGTTGGCATCTTGGTGAGCATATCACAATCCTTCATTATCCTGCGTTCCTTCCTTATATCAATCCGAGCAATCATCGTATTATACGGCTCAAGCACTGACTATCCTCTATTGGAGTCAACTGTCTGATCACATTGGACGGAAGCCTTTGATATTGACTGCTCTGTTCGCGATAGCAGCCTCGATGTTCTCGTTCGGGCTCTCGAGAACATTTGTTGGTCTGGTGATCAGGTTAGCGTGTCAAACAACGGCCATAACAGTTGATTACTGATATATTAATTAGTCGTATTCTCTGCGGGGCATTCAATGGGAGCAATGGCATCGTCAAAAGCATGGTAATGGACATTACTGACACAACCAACTTGCCGAAGGCATTCGGCTATATGCCGCTCCCATGGATGTTAGGGGCCATAGTCGGGTAGGTACTTACAACATGTCTGCTTGCTCTTGAAGCGAGATTGAAAATGGAAATCCTAGACCACTCATCGGAGGATCCCTCTCCCGACCCGCAGATAGGTTCCCCGAAATCTTTGGGCGATCGGAACTTCTGAAAACCTATCCATACCTCTTACCATGCGTCGTTCCAGCTATATTTGCCTCGGCAGCTTGGTTAGTCACATATTCCAGATTCAGAGAGGTGAGAGCGATGTTTTTAATGACCATGTCTGGAACACACTAAGTTCGATAATCAGAGTGTTTCAACAAGAGCACCACCTCTGAGGCTGATCAAAGGATGGTTATTGCAACAGTCCGATCCAAATTTTCCCATGCCATCGAACAATGCTTCGACTAGTTCTGCGGAAGCAAACTCTGCTGGAGTTTTATTAAGACCACTCCCATTGCGTGCCTCGCTAACGCCAAGAGTCCTGACTGTAACAGCAAGCTATGTCGCCATGGCTGTATTCTATATGGCGTTTAACTCGATCCTTCCTCTGTTCTATGCAACACCCATTGAACTCGGCGGTCTTTCCCTTGATCCTCCCCTCATCGGCGCTATACTGTCGGTATCAGGTATCGCACATGGTGCATTCCAGCTACTTTTCTACGCCCGTCTACATGATCACTTTGGCGCAGGAGCCATTCATACCACCGGTGTTAGCTCTGGCATACCTATCGTTGTTTTATTCCCAGTGATCAATGCTCTAGCGCGAGTCCAGGGAATGAGTTTGGCGGTGTGGTTGTGTGTTGCCGCTCAACATGTGCTAACGACTAGCTTGATGATGTGCAATCGTACGTCAACCCAGTACTTCGTGCATGGTACTTAACTGAGAAGGACCTACAGCTTGCTTGGCATTATTTATCAGAGCAGCTGCTCCCAATCGCGCCTCGCTTGGGGCAACCAATGGAATTGCCCAGATGGTTGCTGCAGGAGCAAGGATGATTGCCCCAGCATCTGCGACTTCGGTTTTCTCTTATTCGTTGCAGGAAGGCCATGATGCGTGGCTGGTTTACTACTTCCTGATGGTAATTGCATTTCTCGCTATAAGTACTTCTCTATTGCTTCCTCGTGATCCTAGTGTGTGGAAAAATTGCTAGTAGTGTGTGTAACCGAGAACGACCTGCATGTTATCTTTTCTCAGCTATGGTATTATCCGATATATGTATCATTGCATACACGCTTGTTTTACGAATGGCTAAGCTCCCACATTCTTCTTTGACTCGTAACCAGTCTTTAGTACGTCTGACTCATGTTAACGCTTAAGTTGTCGGGGTCAAGGCATCAGTGAATTGGTGAGGAAAGTAGAAGGCGATATATCGCAATATATAGTACATAATCAGAACAATCAACATAATTCTGTTATCGAGCATCACATTATCATATTTGCTCTTGTATAGGAAAGGAGTTTTACATGATTTCACTATAAAACTTCAAGATCAGGAAGAGGTCGCATCATCGCTCAAACTGAAAGTCAAAGGGAAGGTGGAACAACAGCTACTGGTTGATCTACATGAATCAAAATTGATTTTAACACCACTTTGATACCAAATTCAAATGTAAACACGAATGCCATATCCTCTCAACTACGAGATATTCATTCGAGCGCGTGACCACCAAAAAATCCTTTATGGCTTCGACTTTGAAGGGAAGGTGGAACAACAGCTACCGGTTGTTCTACATGAATCAAGATTGGTTTTAACACCGCTTTGATACCAAATTTACATGTAAACGCGAATGCCCATATCCTCTCAAACTACGAGATATTCACTCGAGCGCGTGACCACAAAAAATTCCTTCATGCTTCGACTTTGAACGCATCAAATATGACGTTTGCGATGTTTGTCAGCAATGTATCAATTTGGAATGCGTGTGAATAAGCTATACCTTTTCGTGGCAGCCCGACAAGCGGCCAATAATCAATTTGTATCATGCCTCAAGTCTCAAGGCGACCTTCTTTGTGTAGCTAATGGTTGACGATAGTATACTGCTTGCGACTGCGTCCCGGGAAGTTAGATTTGCTCAGAACAGTGAAACGTGTCTATCAAGTGCGTGAGAACCAACATAAGTCTTGCTTTGAGTTCGTATACGACGTTCTACTTTTATCTAATGACTAGCAGATGCAATGTACTTGCGAAAACCAACAATGTGTTTACTGAGTGAGCAAAAGCACAAGTATGTACTACTTTGAATTTTGACGCTATCTGCTCTAGATTTCCAAAATGGCTAACAATAGCACACCGCTTGCGACTGCGTCCCGAGAAGTTAGATTTCCTCAGAACAGCGGAACGTGTCTATCAAGTGCGTGAGAACTAACATAGGTCTTGCTTTGAGCTCGTACACGACGTTCTACTTTTATCTGATGACTAACAGATGCCACTGTACTTGTGAAAACCAATGGTGTGTTTACTGAGTGAGCGAAAGCATAAATATGTGCTACTTTGAATTTTGATGCTATCTGCTCTAGATTTCCTAGGATGGTTCGTTGAATGTCAACTTTCAAGAATTTATCGGTGGGAGTTTGAATTGAATATTTCTTTCAATTGCGCTCATCTCACAGTCTGTGCTTTTTATTCTAAGATTGACATGAAGAATAGAAATACAGATATCTTCATGATCGCGCTATATTTTTTGGATCCAGCCCATTAAAGTCAGGTAGCCGGATCTGCAGGGTAAGCTCGAACCTTATATATTTCACCATACATCATCGCCCTGCGCGTCTTTTCGCGCTTGAGGAGGATATCTTTACACGTGTATTTTGGAGCAATGTTATATATTCTGCCATGCATCAGCGCTCTGCATTTCTTTTCGCCCTTTAGGAAGAAATCTTCACGCTTGTATTTGGGACCTCGGTGATTCAGCCCCCCCAATGCAATGCCACTGTTACTATTTGGTAAAGGGGTATCTCTATTCTACCTTCTCATGTATTATTCATTAGGGTATTCAATTCCACATCAGAAACACAGGTAGGCGAATCTAGAAACAGAGCTTCAATGAGTTGGGCCCTAGAGATCATTCTAATTATTCAGTTGCGCACAATATTAGATTCATCATTAAACCATCGCATTAATTGGCAAACAATAGATATAATACAGAACACAGTAATATCTAGGGTGAATCAAACGCAGCGTCATCGCGTTGTGCTCTCTGCCTTGCGAGAGCATTGACAGACATATTGGCCTTCATCACGTCGCTAAGTTCGCCTCAGCGATTCCTCCCAAATACTTTTCTGAAAACGAAATTCTAGCAAGGCTTGGTTTGGAGGGAAAGTTACACACCTAGTCCACCATTCGAGAAGTTTCTCCACCCTGCGCTGCGCTTCTCGACCAGGGGCCCTTTCGAAAAAGTCAACGATGGTCCGCCAAAATTGTTGGTAGTCGAAGTCGCCATCCATGGACCGCCAAGAGGTAATTGAAGAAAGTGCGAATCGCACCTGCGAGTATATAGTGAAGATACATCATAAAATAGACTGAACAATACGACTTACTTGACATGTGATATATGCGAGCGAGCGAGGAGTGACTTTCTCCAAATGGATGATCTGTGCTACGTGTTTTTTGACCTTGATTCCAGATAACGACTTCTTAGCCCGTCGGTTGTTGCTGATGACATCCGCGCCGTCGCCGTCGCCTTCGACGTCTTTTGCTGAGGAAGGAGACGTGAACACAGCCTTGTAGGCCTGAAACACTAGTCAGTTTGCTGTCAGGCTGCTCCGGTGCGACTAACCTGAATGAGAATCTTGCCCTTGAAAAGGCCCTCCTCAAGATCGTCGGGATTGGAAGTGTACTTATCATACAAGTAAGTGGGAAATGATAGATCTGTGACGATATACCCATCTGAGCGATTTCAGATTCCTGCCCTTACTCTGGTGAACTGTGAGCGTTGTCTCTCAGGATACCGAAGCCACTACTTACTCTGGGTTATTCCAGTCAAGCTCTGCCGGACAGAGTAACCTGCCACACACGTCATGGGTGAATCCACGGGAATGCTTATCGTCGTGGTCAACGGGGGAATCCGGTTTAAATTCACGATTGATCCATTCTGAAACGAGAGTCTTCAGTTTCGAGGTGTCATCTCCTCGAGCGCCATCAGCCCCCTGTTGAAGCTAGAGAAAGACTCAGCCGTGACACAACCATTAATATCATTAAACCAACCATCTTTAACATGTGCGTGTACTCCTCGTACTCCATCTCTGAACCCTTCTTGTAGAACCACGGCAGCGTTTTGGCTAGGGTAGTATAACCTATTTGAAGTCGATCTTGTCTACGTAACCACGTTAATGAGTAATATACCCGATCCAAGAGCGAAATACTTACTCGATGGTAGTCTCCTGGTCTTCGATCTCATATCTTCTGTCGTTTTCGGCGACGAGGTCCTCGATACTATCAAAAAGGGCGACAACACACCTGATTGCTCTTCCTTTAGCAACATACCAGATTGTTTGCCTAATAGATGGTGAGCAATGCAACTGAATACTACGTGCGATAGCAGCCACACCTTTGCTTGACTGCGCGGCCCGACTCCAGGGCCTCCAGCTTCTCCTCCAATTGAGCGATTTTCCGTCTCTGCAAAGCTTGTACATGTGCCGCTACTGCTTGAGATTGTTGCGGCTGAGTGTTGGGTTGGTCCTGCTGATTCTCAGCGTGCGATGTGCTGCCTTCGCCGTCGACGTACGACGTGTCGTCCTCGTCCTGCTGGCCCTCGACATGCGACATAACGGCAGGAACTCGAATAGGTTAGCGAACGACTGGAACAGTCCCTGAGGGATGAAGATAAAATGAGAGTGAGGAATAAAACTAACCCGAGCCTGCTCACATTTTATATGTTGGCCAAGACCGGTCCTAGTTGCCTAAAAAGAATACTGGGAACTAGTAAATCACGCTAGCACAAGCGATCAAGTCGCTTGAACAATTTGATACCTGTTTAGGAAATGGTTAACATCGGCAAAATAAAGTTGGATGCAAAGTCACTAACGGCGTGGAAAATATGTACAGCGGGGCGTGACATGATATTGATTCCAGTAGCGTTGTAGGGATTCATTTCTGGTTGGGCTTGTAGAGACTGTTTTTACCTTACCTTATGTTGGCACTTTTGTAGCTTACATAAGGAAGCAATCTTTTCACCAGTTACCAGTATGAGTCTGAGAGATCAGCAAGTTTTTATGATATTTCCTCTCCTCTGAGCCTTGAGCCTGGTCCAGAAACCCTTTAGGGTCGAATAGCAGCTAGGTTCTGCAAGACCCAACACATTGTTCAGACTCACCATCTGAATTGTTGTACCTTCAGCGTCATAATGTTAGTGGCGTCAAGCTTTGAGGCTTTGGTACTCGTCGGTACTTCGTTGTCTGCGAGGTTGAGGATACCTGCATACATCCTGGCAAGATACTTTTCCGTTTTCGTGGAGGGTGCTACAAAGGAAGCGCCGCGTGCTTCGCTAAGAAGCTCGTCAGCGCGGGCGATATGCTTCGCCAGCCCACCTTTCTGAAGGAGGATGAGGAGGCGAGACCGGGAGAGTTTCCCCAGGGTTGTCTTCTCCATCTGCTTCACAGGAATGGGAACGATCATTTGAGGTGGCTGGGTGATCATCTTGACGTAGATATCGCGTAAAGCACGGTGCGTGATGGGTGTGTCTGCTCCATCGAGGTCGAAAGATGGCGAGTAGAAAATGACGAACCCTTCGGTTTCCTGGCCGGGAATACGGTATGGAGTAGCAGCAAGGAAGGAGTGCGTGACGCCTTCCAAAGTCTGGAGATGGGTTTCAAGCTCAGGGATACTATATGTGACACCATGGATGATGACAGTGTCCTTGATGCGACCGATAAGGTGCATAGAGCCACCTTCGATGATGCCTACATCACCAGTGCGGTACCAGCCACCCTCGATAAAGCTGGAAGACGTAGCCTCGGGGTTTTTGTAGTAGCATACAAAAACCATCGGTCCGCGAACCTGAAGCTCGCCGCTCTCGCCATCTGTGCGCGGAGTAGTGCCATCGACAGGGTCAACGATGCGCATTTCGCAACCAATAACGGGACGTCCAAGGTCAAGGAACTCGCGAGCAGGTTTGGTTGTAAAAATATCGACTGGAACAAAAATGCAGCCACCACCGCAAGACTGGTCAGCTCAGATGTAACGATGTTGTATAAAGGTTCATACCAAGTTTCTGTCATTCCAAATCCAGCAGAGACTATGAAAGACACTGCGGAGGGGTTCTTGCTAAGCTTTTTCATGGTAGCAACGAAGGTTTGTGCGGTCTTCGAGACCACTGCTTCACCTCCGCTGGTGATCCGCTTGATGGAGGATAGGTCGAAAGATCCGAAAGATCAGTACGCTTTTCAAGATCGCGAGTGAGCTTGGCTAGCAGAAAGTTTGGTGCGAAACCTAGACCAATGGACTGAAAAAGAAGCATGATGAATCGATAAGTAAAAGCCACGGCTGAATTGAATTGAGACATACATTTTCGTCGATCAGACGAAGCATGTGAACGGAATCGGACAAAATAACAGATGCATGCACATGGACCTGCGAAGCACCATATAGGAGAGGTGTAACGTGCATTTCCACAGACCCTGCGACGTGATCAAATCCTACCCCTGACGGCCATAGTTAATTCTAGAAGCTCTAATGATGGTTGTCTTACAGTTCAAGACTTGAGACTCAGAAGGCGGGCCAAAGCGTAGCTCCTTGGCACGGCGAGCCCTGAACATGCGCCAAATAAAGTCGTCGGTGTTGGTCACTATGGGGCCTCACAGTCAATATATCAACATCTCACAGAAGGAGGGTGGGTATGCATGATCTCACTCAAATCAAGAATGAACTGAAAGAAATATAAAAGATCGTACCTATAACCGAGAATGTTGCGCCACTTTTAAGAACAGCCATGACAACTACGACCAACTCGACACTACGATGTGCGTAAATCTTCCCTCTTCACACCGCCTGCTAGGAGGTGGTAACGGTGCGCTAGGATGTTGGAGGCTCTCCGTAAGTGAATGTTCGCCTCGTCTGCGGCTCGCTAGGAATCGAGGCAGGTACACTTTGAATGATACACGACCTATCAGGCAATTCCTGCGCGTTGCGGGAAAACACACCTGTGATGGCTCCCTTCCAGTCACACCAATGTAAATTCGCTGTGGGGTTGAGCAAGCGTTCGCGTTGGGCAGCCGTCAAGAGAGGAACAGAACCAACCGCTGCAGTCAGATTGGTAGATACCTTCCTCAAAAGCACAGAGAGTTGATCGACGATGAATGCGGATGCTGAACAGCAGGGAGTTAATAAGAATTCGAAGGGAAATGTGGGAGCTTAGAGGGCACGTGTACTAGTAGTGGGAGGTCGTGTGACGAAGACATCTTGGTGTGATCGGAAGTTAAGCTAGTTGATCGGATAAAATTATCTCGTGGCTGATCAAAGAAACGGAAACGGAAAAGAGGACGAGATGCTTCGACAGAGTCGTCTTTGTCCCTGTGTAAAGCCCGTACGATTGTCTCGGGTAGCAGGTCTGCTTCGGCCGTGTGCCCATCACGCTTGCGAATAACTTACTAGTGATCCGAGAAAAACAAACGGTGAGTAGTAGGTTCACGATAGAATTTGATTATATACAGGTACAAAAATCAAACATCAGCGAGTATTATGGTTAGCGTTGTGTATATCTATCAATCTATCACAAGTGCGCAGCTTGTACTGCTGCCACCGCGTCGATAATTCTGGGTTGGGTAGAATGAAGTCTCGGATGTATTTCTGTAGCAATGTATGCTTAGCTTTGAAATTAGTCACCCCAAAATCAATGGTCACTGCAAACCGCCCGCCCGCTAACTCCATTAAAACACACTCCACGGCCACTGTAGCTGTGCAATACAAGCTGTCGAGTTCTGTGACGAAAGGCACATAGCCGAGTTTCAGAATCGCGTTGAGAAGGACGGTCTCTATCACGGGATGTTCGAATGCAAACGATTGGTCGCGTTGGAGGTCAGATGAATTCCCGAATATGTATTTTAAGGGGAATGAGGGGTCGTCAATAAGGTCTTTTACCATATCGATCTGATACTGTGGTTCGGACTCTTCCGACCAGATTGAGGGGCGCAGTTTGTACCCGAATTGAACAACGGCACGGGCGGCTTTCTTGAAGGTTGATGTGATATCAGCGGACGGTGTCACCGTGAAGGTCTTATAGAACGCAGCTAGGTTTTCTTTAGCCCATCCATCCCCATGCTCTGGTGGAAGTATCAGACACCGTCAATTTTAAGTACTGCGGCTTACTTTTATCATGTACCTCTGCTGTTGAAGCTAGTGCTCGAAGAGCTGCCTCCTTTCTTTCTTGCTCGGTCAAGAAGGGACAGTCTACGAGTGCTGATCGAATGAGCGTTACACGCGCCTCTTCGAAAATTCTTCGGTGGACTCGGATCTTGTCGCTGTATTGTAAAGGCGCGATGGCAGATGTCCGTGGGAGCACCATGGGCGGGGCAACACCCGAAGAGCCCTGATAAGTCATCAGTAATTGACGATTTGTAAATCGTGATTACTCACCATAGTGCTAGTGAGGCCCCTCAGCTTTGATCGGGCATGCGGATAGGGCCAAATTCTAACATCTAACCCTTTTACCGGCGGTTGGCGACTGCGTGATCCAGATGGACCAGGAACGGGAGGCGAAGGCTCACTGACGGTGAACGAATCTCCAAGAGGTAGTGGCTCGTCGAGGTGCAGCGGTGGCTCTCCAATTTGAAGAGGCTGAATATCTTCTGCCTCTGGTGTCAAAGTAGATATCCCGTCAACGGACACGATGGGAGGAGGGAACGCGGAAAGGTATCGAGGAGGATGCAAATGTGGTGGCCCGGAGTCCGCGTAAGGAGTAGCAGAAGAGTTGTATATCGGATGATACCCTGCCTGTGAATTATCAAGGGCGAAATGAAACGGGTCATGGAGGAGTGACGCTGATGGGTTGACGACATTGAGGTTTGGAAATGAGTTCGAAGATTGAGAGTCTGCGAGGAAAATCTGATGGCTCGCTTGCGCATTCACAGCGTCGCCGCGGTAGTAAAAGTCCGAGTCATGATGGGAAAACGAAACAGCCTGAGTGTCATTGAATAAGGACTGCTGGTAGCGGGCCAAGTCAGCCTGAGAGCTAGCAGCGAGGGGATAGGTGGAATGGCTGCTCTGGCCGACATTATCATCAGACGTGTCAATAAAAGTGTCAGGGGGCTGTTCATCGTGCGAGCCTGAGTGCATTGGAATCTAGTGGCAGTTTCGACGCAACCACAGGTGGCAGCATATAAGTTTTATTGCAGCCGCTAGGCCGAACCATGAGGCATGGGCGCTATTTTGGAGATTCCTGATTTGGCTTTCAGCACCGGCACGATTTAATAATAGATTCAATTCACCTTGAAATTACACTGCGGTAGCCAGCCCGGAAAGTTTGGGGCGACTTTTAAATTACCTTCTACCACTATTGATAATGGGGTTGCTGCATTGAAAAATTGAGGTAAGAGTCGTAATAAGACGTGTTGGGCCGCTAACAACTCGAAATTCCATGGGAATGCGTATCGGACCGAACAAGAACCCCCTTCGCAAGGTTCATCGATTAGCGAACATCGTCACTCGAAGGCTCAAAGATTCTAAGTTTCGAGTCAGAGTAGCTTGATATTGGACATCCGATAAAATCGCGTTATCTTTAACAAGGGTTGACTCGGAAGATTCAGACAAGTGACTGACAGCATATGTGAGGCTCTGATCTACAGCGTTAATGTTACCGTGATAAATCGTGACCAAGCACGCACTTACCTGCCAAATCCAGCATCAAGGCTCGCAGACGCCCAGTAGCCCTACTTAACAGTACGATAGTCATGAAAACTCAGGGACGGGCTGGCTTGGCCGTCTGGTTTGGGGCAATTTTAAGTTCGAGTTGGTTCGAAATCTGCTGCAACAGGTTAATGCAAATGCTAATGTGATGAAACGTAAGGTAAGAACTTCCATAATATACGAACGGCTTTGAGCGAGCCCCACAAGATCGATGATCTCCGCTCAAATCTATGAAATCATGATGTGCATAGGGTTGTACACATTCAATTATCCGAGTCACCGTGACATTGGTGTCGGAGAGGAGCGGGGAAAAAGAAGACAACACACGTAAAATAGCAGACGCATTGGCAAGACCCTTGTTCTCAAGCTCAGCTGGAAGTCGGTTGCTAGCCTATTTCCAGGTGTGCACGTTGTCGTATACTAGTACTCCCGGGCCTCGAGTCGTGCGGCAGCATTGAAGCTATTCAATGATCTGACGGTGTTTGACCCTCGCCAACTCATTCCGGTTATCTGTGTGGTGATTGTACATGCAGTGAGTTTTCCAGAAGAGTCCAGACATATAATTGCGTAGGTGAATCCCCAAGTGATGCCTGCCGCAAAGATTCATAAACGATCAATGTGAGGTATGATTGGCAGGACTGACCGTTGTCAAATAATCCAGGGTTAGTATTTAAGCCAGAGAGTGCGAAGTACTGCGAAGATATTAGTCTTATACACGTGGCAATTCAAATACCATACCAGAGGCAAAAACATGGTCGTCACCATATATTCGAGCTTCTCCGTTAGTGCGATAGCAAGACCGCCTTCGTGGGGAACAATGAGTCCTGCCAGGAATGCCCCTACATCCTAGATAAGTATTGAACGTCTGGAACAGGTGACATCACTCATCGAAGAGTCGCGTTGACGAGGGCCAGGCTAGTGCCAGCAGACTCCAGCCGACTGTGTCTTCAACGTGGGTCCCGATATCCCATGTATCCGACTGATGTAAGATTGTCATCGTATGAACACGTTTCACCTCCTCACTCATCCCACGCGCTAACGAGGGCACAGCAAGACAGTCGCGGCTTCTGCAATCGAGACACCTTTCGTTTTGCCTCCTGAAACACCACGAATAGCAGCATCACTGACAACAGTGTTTCGCGCATGACGAAGACCGAAGATGCGCACGAGGATATCAACTACATCACGATTAAACTGTTCACGGGTTTGGTCTGTGAACCGAGCATGTGGAGTACGCATTTTGATGGCGAAAGACAAGGTTTGCCCTACAGTCAAGGTCGGAAAGTGGACATCATCGTCAGGACAGTAGATCACATCTCCACGATGCTGTCTTGCGATATCTTTGGGGGTGAAGGAGTCATAGCATACTTCGCTTTGTACAGCATGGTATTCCCCACACTGGTTTGCAATAGGAACGTGCTGCAACCGGAGCCAGGTCGTCCGAGAGCTACTGTCGCGAACACGTAATTAGCGCGAAAATTTAACTTCACGTTAGTTCATTAAAACGACTAACGGAGCATTTCACTAGGCGTAACGATACCCTCGAATCCTGAGAAAATATCCCTGACAGGCGGGTTGCGCATCGCCGAAATGTTCCTCAAGGTGGCAGCAGGATTAAGCATAGAACCGATGGTAGGCTGTAAAGAGGCACGTGCACTGACACCGACGACACGGAGATCCTTGAACATAACGCCAAGCTCGCGGCCCTTAATGAACTCTTCGCAACGACTAGTAATATATCGACAAAGGCAACTAGTTTTTTTATTGCGGAACTCACCGTCTGACAAGGTCTTTGAGCGTGACTTCAAAATCGAAAGCATCGCCATCGTATGCTGAAGTCACAGAGGATGAACTTGGAGTGTCAATGCCCTTTGCTGAGGCAGGCATAAGAGGCTTGGGTAAACTTCCGCGACGAGAGCTTTCCCGATGATTAACTTGAGAACGTGTGGAACGTGATGCCATTGTGCGTTGAAGTTCGCTAACACCAACTGGGTCACAAAAAATTGACTGGAACGCGAGAGGGAGATGAATGATCACCTTCGTAGGCCTCATCTTGGTGTGGCTCATTTTGAGGAATATTAGTTTCCAGCTGAGAGTCGGGAAGACTAGTGATGAGGTTGAACGTACTATATTATAGTACTTCTGCGAGGTCATAGAGTTCGCACGGAGACCTCCAGCCGTAGCAGGACTCTCACCCACAGAAGTTAAGAAAAACAATTGAGCCTTCCCCCGCGGGGATCCTACTAACTGAAGAAGTAAGTTCAAATTTTCGAATATCATCACGTGACAATTCACGCGCACGTACATGTCTCCCACGAGACGGGTGGCAAGCCGCATCATCTTTCTAAAATAATTCGTCTAGTATCGACGGCTTGCCTCATAGATGGGCTGGTGTACTTGCATACCGGCGTGACTTTGAATTGGTGCTGTTGATGAAAATTCATGTAAGAAAGAAGATGATTGAAGCAGTATTTACAGTGTTACTAGTACACTCCGATTTTGCCAACTGCCAGGTACTACGTGACTACCGTGACGTCCCGCCGTGACAGACTAGACTCAGATGTCGAATCTACTGGGTTGTATGCTAGACCCGTGCCTACATCTTCTCAGAAGACCTAGTCAAAGTGAGCACGAGTACCTACGAATCCATTGTGTGTCATCGGGTGATATCTAATCCATTCTCTCGGATATTCTGCACCACCGTGGCAGATATCTTCACGTCTACCTTCCAATAGAAACCGTTCTCTCCTCGTCTATTCACTCGTTCACGCATATGGACTTCTGGCAACATGCACTGGTCAAGAGACCCAACGATCCCTGGTTGTGCGACCACGGCCTGCTGGCCAGAAGGAGTTTTTGGCTTACCATACTCGTGACTATCTCGAAGATGTCATGATTCAATCAAGCGATGCGCAGAGCCTTCTAGAAGCTTCAGAGTTTGGGCTTGAAGATGTGCGTATACAAAACAGATTGTGTCGTTTCGCTACCTGTCAATGTATCACTATGTAGGACTGCCCCATGTTTCATGGAATCAAAGACTACATCACACTAGTCGCTGGAGCTACCTTGACCGCGTAAGCGGAAATAAAAGAGACTAAGCTTAAGTGATGATATAAAGCAATATAAGAAAAGATAGATGCAAAGTGTAGACCAATAGACTTCTACTATGTACTGCTAAGTAAATAGTGGGTGATAACTAGTAAGTTCAAGGGAAAAGTAAGGTAAGTAATAGTATGTACTGCTGGTGCTTATATAGCGCGCCTAAGCGCGGTCAAGCGGAGCCGAAGCGCTACCGAGTAGGTATGTAAATATATATATGAGTGAGAATGCATGATAAAAATAAAGGTGGAACTATGCTAATAAAGGAAATGGAAATATACGCACTAGGGAGCTTGGTGGACAGTGGATGGATGCTTCTGGATGGCTGGCGCCATAGGGCGCGCAAGCGCGGGAACGCGCGCGCGCGTATACATCGCGAAGCGCGGGAATGGTGCGCGCATGGCGCGCGTTGCGCGGGAAAGCTGCGCGTCATATAGAGATAGCTGTGGGTAGTGCACAGAGTGACGCTACAAGTTGGCGGCTGCGATTAGAAACGATATCTCGGACATAACAATTTCCTGGGATGGCGGAAGGTAAGTGCTCGCTTAGTTCATGGCGAACTTTCCTTGGAATCTCAGTGTCGTCATATGCAGACATCACGCCAAAAAGCACGGGCTTCAGCTTTTTGTAACGTAGCTGATTGCGTTCTCGCCATTCTTTTCCTCAAACGAACAATACCTTCTACACATCCGTTGAAGAAACCACGTGTGATGTATCCCGACCTCGACCTTCATTTTTCAGATGCAGCGTCACAAGCTTTTCACAAACCTGGTTCCACGGCTGCTGCTCAAGTTCTTGTGCGTGCATCTCGAATCATTGACAATATATGACCCAAAGAATTCTTTTTAGACACTATCTCCCGCATACCATCCTAGGCTTTAGGTGGTTATGACACACCCAATGCCGCGCAAGCTTGGACATCTTACCTCTGTGGCCGCAGTATGTTTGAATCTCAGGTTCTGGCTCGTCATGTATTGATACATTGTGTCTAACAGGGAGGAATTCCGCTATCTCACCAGTCTGTCACGTGCATTGGTGCACCAACCAAACACTGACTCATGAGCGTGTTTCGTGTCTAGCTTCTAACACATGGCACAGAGGAGGTGTCATACGTCACAGCAACACAACTATTTTCCCGCTCTACAAATATATACAAACACATGTTGTCGGTCCTTATGCAGACGACTATTGACTCGGATGGTCCGTCAATTAAAAGTTACCCAAAATTCGTAAGTAAATTTTCTCTCAACTACTTTTCCTCCGCAGTACTTGCCGTGTTTTGATTCTGCCGCCTGTTTCGTTCTTCACCGTACGCAATAACATCAAGGACGGTTTGCCAATCAGTGCCGGTTTTCTCCCGGCAGATGCGCTTAATAGCCACCGGCCCGCCGGGGGTGGCATTCAAAAATACGTTCAAGTTTTCCTTGTCGACGATGTCGATCCCTGCGAGTGCAACCTTTCTCTTGCGAGTCTGGCGGTGGGTACTAATAGCACTAGTACTAGCAGTGCAAAAATCTTGAGCTTCAAGTTGCACCGTGGCTACTGTGACTTCCGGACAACTGGCGATGTTGGGATCGGCTCCAGCTGTCTTCTCCATGAATTCGAGTCAGTACAATGAAATCAAAAACGCGGCTGCAAATACTTACTGCCCTGCGAGTCCTCCGAGTTATTGTGGCAGCTTCCCCGGGCCAGGTCTGACTTTCCGACCCGGACTCAGACATCTTCAAGACGTTGTCCAAGCGAGTGCTGACTAGGATCTTCTGTTGAAGACACATTGAGCATGTTGCAACCAACGTATTTGAATGAGTATTTCATACTTTTTCAAGTTCATATTTCAGAGGCAAGGCTAGCGCGTGCTCTTCATTTCGGGTGCGAGCCTCAGTCTTCTCCTTGTTGACAGGAACACTGCCAACAGCGGTTGATGATTTGGGTGACTCAGATTTACTCGGATATCCCGACCCCTTATCACTGGTCACAGGATCAAGTGCCAGCATGGAGGGTTGATCCGAGTCACCGCCCCATGCATCAGCATGGGCATGATCAAACATCGTGTTAGAGGATCGGAGTTGATTTAGATGAGTCAGACCTCAAGGGGTGAGCTTTTATATTGATTATGTGACTAGTGACGTACTGTTGCAGGGTAGAAGTTCTGACGCCATACGCACATGCTCAGGTATGCGTAGCCTAGAGTGCCTCCGTAGCTCATTAATCATTGGGGCTATCTTATTCCCGGATTAGTAAAGTGAGTTTCAACGAAGTAATATGTGCTAAGTTATTCCCGGATTAGTAAAGTGAGGTTCGCAATTTAATATGTGCAGCTCGACTTCGTCCGTTGAACGAGGTTTGCAACAATAAACAAATTTCGTTTCGGCATAGCAGAGAGGTAGTACTATACTTGGTTCTCTCGTTGGCTGCTGAAGTAGATCTATACGTCAAGTAGGTGACAAAGCACAATGAATCATGCAAAAAACTATCTCTGCTCTCAGTTTGAGCTATATTCTAATTATAAAACCTAGGTCCTCTGGGCTCATTCCTGTTTAGGATATGTACTGAGTTGGTGTGAGGCGATAAGAGGTGTGTATTCACTTGCACGAGTTCCAGGAGGTTCAAACTCCGATGAGCCTATTTACCTCACGCACGGGAACACGGCGTCGTAGCACTTCAACCTAGGATCTCCAGGATCCCCGTGACCTTACGAGTTGAAAATTATGAACTTCAACTTGGCTCCATCTTCCAGTAATGAGCTTGAAGCTGAAGCTCCATGTAAACTCCCCTCCACGCCTCCTCGCTCTTGTTATCTTCCCACTGTTGGAACTCCCAGCCAATATTCGAGTTCTACTCCAAGCTCTCCCTCATTAGTTTCTGCAACAGGATCAGGTATGAAAGACTTACAAGTATATGTCACTGGGAGAAATACTTAAATATGAAAAAAACAGCAGCCAACGACACAGATGACGATATATTCCCTTTGACACCCAATTCGAAGAGTTCGCGCCGTGACCTCAACAGTCCGTTTAACGGAGTTGAGCTGCAGACTCCAAGTTCTCCTCAGAGCAAACACTGCGATCCTCCCCGTTGGACCACACGATTTGAAGACCAACATATATTCAATCGATTGGTAGGCAGACCTTTCGATGTCGATGATTCATCGGGCACCATCAACGAGAATGTAAGCGTTGTTTCAAGTTTTCATATTAATTCTGATGAGTTGCATCGTGTTTAGGCTAGGGATACGTATTTGAAGATTCTGGGAGAACTTGGCACAAACTCCTTTCTTTGTGCTGTTCAATACCTGGAAGCAGTTCGTGAACGCTGTCGCATGAACTACCATGCCGCGTGCTGGGAAATCTCGGAATTCGAGAGGGGAAAAGCTCTCGCTCGCTCCATGCGTGAAGATTCAAAACGCGACTTCTCGAAGGCCGAGCAAGAAGTGCAGCATTTAATGGAAATGTTTCATCAACGCCTGTCATTGTCCCGTCGTGGCGCCTCAGCAAGTTCTTGTCCTACTGAAGTCCGCGACAGTATCAGGACTTCTATCCGTCGAACGGATGCTGTACTCGGCATCCTAAATGATGCCAAAGAGATGCGCTCTGCGGATAGCTGGTATGTGCTACCTTAGGCATTATTTGCGTTCATTTACATGCTTCTAGAGCTTGTCCAGAGCATAGACGATCGATTGAGATGGATATCTCAATGGCATCTTATATGATATTGCCATTTGTACCGTTACAATTCCTAACTCGCCCTCGCAATACCAGTAGTACTAGTGAATCATGTCTGTCTATTGGTAGATCACACAACGCTGGACGCTTGAAATATTAATTTGCTAGACAAGTCACATTTTTTGTATAATTTTGACTAGTGAATACGTACCACCGGTGCAGACCATTCATTGGCTTCTTCTAAGTTTTCACCATAATCCTGGTGCCAACTTCTCAAGAAAATTTCATCCAAGTCCAACTGTCCATGGTACTACTAGTTGTAACTTGAACTTGAAAGGCGTCTTGGCAACACGGTACTAGCTGGCTCAAAACTGCCATGCGCTTTTCCAAAGTGCTTCAAGTTTGTATCGGTGTATTCTTCTTTATTTTGATGGTATCTTGCAATGCTCCGGGCTGCTCCTGGGAGAGGACCACTGACAATCGGGGACTAAGTAGGCATCGCGCGTCCTGTTGTTTTTTCAAGAGAGCCAGTAGTCTGGCGAGTCGGAAACGACAAGATCGCGCAAAGGAGGCGTTGATAAACTTTTCCAAAGCAAACGCTACTGATGAGCCAGTCGTGGTGAGTCGTGACTCCTTCCTGAACTTCCCGTATTTAAAAATCATCAAATTTGGCAGGGGCGCAGAATTTCTTTCGCTGGACATGCAGCCGCAGTGAGGGACCGTCCAAATCTTAAACCGATTACTCCTAGCAGACTCCTTGGACCAATTTCTGTAGCTCGCGATTTATGCAGTGCGTCCAGTCCTGTGCTAGACTCGCAGCACACCCTTGGCTCGGAGACGCCCCAAATTGATCAAGTTGATGTTGAGATGACGGGGAGTGGTTCTTGCACTGACCATGATTTAGGTTCGTGCCCTCTCAGGCTTGGGCGCCACGATCCTCTGAGATATCTACCAATTACTTACTCTTATCATCATTTCAGGTGAACGAGCACTCCCAATGGGACGAATTCCGAGATATCTTGATAATATCAGGTCTTCGCCGGACGATCTCAATCATTCCGATAGAGCAGGCATTCCATCATCACAAACAGCCTCACTACCTGCCCGATCCCGAATTCGACGTGTTCTTTTGACCTTAAGAGACACCCTTAAGTCCACCTTCAACTCGTTTGGCCTTTGTCGGCTCTATCCACGTCGTCCTTCCTTCGAACCAGATCAGTTGATTCAATCCTCACTACTTGCCAGAACATCTCCGAAAACTAGTGCTCAAGAGGCTGATTCTCCAGCAAAAGTCTTCGCGCCGCCTTACCCTTTTCCCAACATGTCTGTCTATCGACTTATGTCATGGATGCATTCTGGTGGCAACTTATTATCGGAAAAAACAGTCTCGCACCTAGTCAAAGATGTCATTCTAGCGGATGATTTCGACCGCAAAGACTTTGAGAACTTCTCGGTAAGGCAGAACTTGCGAGAACTGGATATGGATGAGAGTGGAAAAAGAGTTACTTTCCCAGACGACTGGGTTCAGACTGGCGTCACCATCAGTATCCCCACGAGGACAAGCGAGAATGACCCGCTACCTTATACTATCCACGGATTCCATTATCGACCTCTCGTTGAAGTCATACGCGCGGCGTTTGCAGACGTGCAAGCTGGAGCATATCATCTTTTTCCTTTCAAACGATTATGGAAGGACCCTCTAGACGGCCATGAAGAGCGGATTTACGACGAGCTATATACCTCGGATACCTGGCTAGAAGCTCAAGACGACATTCAGAGGCTTCCAAAGGAACCTGGATGTTCACTAGAACGTGTCATCGCCGGTCTGATGTTCTTCTCCGATGCTACTCATCTAGCAAACTTTGGGACTGCCAAAGCCTGGCCTCTGTATATGTACTTCGGTAATTTGACAAAATACGCCCGATCATCACCCAAGTCAGGGGCGTGTCATCTGGTAGGGTTTCTACCTTCAGTACGTGCCTCTGAATGTGCATGCGTATTTACACTGATTGTAAACGTTAGCTTCCTGACAGTGTCAAAGACGTTTTGAGTAGACTGTCCGGCATATCGAAAACGGGCATGGCGTCCCTGCATACCCACTGCCGCAGGGAGTTATTCCATTCCTGCTGGGACATTCTGATAGATGAAGATTTTCTGTCTGCATACCAGCACGGCATTGTTTTGAGATGTGCTGACGGGGTCTTTCGGAGGGTCTTTCCCCGAATTTTCACGTATTCCGCGGATTATCCAGAAAAGTGCGTTACTTCATGGACCTTATCAAAACATCGAATCACTCGTAAATTTACAGGGTTTTAATCGCGACTATCAAAGACATGGGCTTGTGTCCGTGCCCTCGTTGTCTGACGCCCAAAAACCTGTTTAATTTTCTTGGGCTTTCGAGGGACATGAGAAGTCGCGTCGCCAATCTTCGTGAGTATGTGATGGCGAAGATACTCAAAGCTCGTACTTTTATCTACACGAACGGAAATACAGTAGACGGTGTCAAGGTAGAGCACACCCTTGGAGAGGGCTCTTGGGTACCTACCCTGGTAGGTGAGATTACTTTCATTCCATTTTCTTATCGGCTCACGTAGTCTACTCACAGAATAGATTCGCCCAGAAACTCGGACCGCTCGGCCTCGACTCATTCCGCATGCTTGTAGTCGACTTCATGCACGAGTGCGAACTGGGCACCTGGAAGGCGTTGTTTATACACCTCCTCAGGCTCCTTCACGCCCTTCCTCGCGGTAGTGAGCTTGTCGCGGCTCTCGACAGCAGGTACGAGGACCGCATAAGCTATGTTGTTGTTTGCTAACAGGCGTCCACTTCCTCGACTTTGTTGTAGGTTTCGACAGGTCCCGACCTTTGGCAACGGCGTGATTCGCAAGTTCTCAAACAACACATCTGAGATGAAACGATTAGCAGCGCGTGATTTTGAGGACATTTTACAGGTTTTTCTTTGTTACTAGTTATCGACATTTGGCCCGCTGACAGCTCTTCATTACCAGTGTGCGATCCCTGTCTTTGATGGGCTGTTCCCCGCTGAACATAATGCGCTCGTACAATCTCTGCTGTATCGATTCGCAGAATGGCATGCGCTGGCGAAGCTTAGGATGCACTCGGAGTCCTCATTACATTTTCTCGAGGAAACTTTCAAGAAACTGTCTCGCATATTGCGGAAATTTCGAGACGACACTTGTGCGGCCTTCAACACTTTAGAGTTACCCAAGGAAAGAACAGCCCGTCAACGAAGGGCTGCTCAACATTCTGAAGCGAACGGCGTCATTCCGGAATCGAACGGGCCAAGGGCGAAGAAGTTCAGCATGGGCACCTATAAATTTCACGCCATGGGGGATTATGTTAGAACCATTATGCTCTTCGGGACCACGGATTCCTTCACCACTCAAATCGTACGTACGGTCTACATTATATTTTGCACCGAAATTAAGTTGTATCAGGGGGAACTTGCTCACCGAGCACTGAAGGCCTTTTATCCGCTCACCAGCAAATTAGATACACCAGCTCAGCTGGCCAAACATGAACGCAGACGCCGCGTATTACGGCGAGTGGCAGAAGTTGGAGGCATCTCATCCTCTAGCAGCCAACCACCATCCAATGCCCCCCCATCGGCATCCTACGACAATCATCACTATATCGCGATCACTCGGAACAACCCAGTCGATATTTTTGCGTTTCTCAGAGAGAATAACGGTGATCCTGCCCTTAAGGTAACAGTCATATCTTACTTTGGCGGCACTTTATGATTTATTCATAGTGACGGTCAGGATTTCGTGCCCAGACTGAGGGATCACATCATTTATAGGTTGCAGGAGCTAGACGTTAGCTATTGCGACCACACGTTCACGGATGAAGAACGAAATTCTGTCATTATTCCCAATAACACGATCTATTCCGTACAGACTATGCAGGTGCACTATACGACCTACGACTTGAGGCGCGAGTACGACACGATCAACCCAAGAACTCACGCGGATGTTATGGTTCTTTCAGGAGAGACAACTCCCAGCCATCCCTACTGGTATGCCCGAGTATTGGGCATCTACCATATGGAGGTATGGCTCACCAATGCGGGTCAACCAGTGAAGCGGCATCTGGAGGTACTCTGGGTAAGATGGCTGGCAGTCGTACAGAGTTATAGATCTGGCAGTAAATATGCTCGTCTTCCGAAGATTGGCTTTGTGGAGGAGTCCGACCGCGATGCCTTTGGTTTCCTGGATCCTGGGCAGGTAATTCGAGGGGCACATCTGATCCCTGCATTCGCTGCAGGACGTGGCATAAGCTCCCTGCGCCATGGAAAATCACTGGCGCGTCCTGGGGAACAGCTGGATGACTGGGAGGAGTATTATGTTGGGATGTAAGTACAGATCTTCCAGTGGTGTATTAACACTCACATTTTGAGCCAGATTCGCCGATCGTGATATGTTCATGCGGTATAATCACTTAGGTGTTGGACATTCTGCAACACTGCGGAAGATCATCAAATGTTGCCTGGGCTCTGTATCGGTGGCATTGACCGATTCTATAGACAATGTAATTGAAGGTAATGAGGGCGACGTGGGCTGTGACGAGGCAGGTGATGGTGAAGGCCACGAATACGACTATGACCTGGACTCGGAGGACGATGAAGAATGTGATGAGGAGGAGCTTAGTAGTGATGAAGAACTGGATGAAGGAGCTATAGAGGATGGTGACGGTGACGGGTGTGATGAGGATGGTGACGACGATTACGATCATATCTCTTTCTAAAGCTCCTTCCAAATCTCGTACCTGTACTCCCATGCCTTAAGTCTTCACGAAATATAAAATGTACTATAAGCTTAATTTTCTTGACTGTTGCCAGTGCATTATCGTGAGTGCGGTATACCGTGACTATCCGAGTCTAAAGTACCGTTAGTAGCAGCATCATGATGTCACACTTTCACCAGACATGCGATGCGGCCGCAGTCGCTACTCCTACTACCTTTCTTCTCGATAATCTGGCACGCACATCCAACCCCACTCAGGCTGATATTAGTTCCAACAGCCGGTCAACATTATGTACTGACCCTTTCGAATTCATTCAATCAGGGAATATCATTTCCTTTATAACTTGTCAGGGGGGTTCTTATTCGGTAGAAGGTTGGTGCAATTTTTTGTTTACAATTGTTTATCTTCCTGTGTGCAGGATGACTCCACTCGTGTCCCATGATAGTGACCACCGCTACTCAGGCTTTCTACCCTTAGTAAGTGAAACTCATCCTTATTATTCATAGCTGGATTTATAAATTCTTTGTTGTGCTATCATACTGATGGACTGTCATGGTGGTGACCGCTTTGTGAGATTTTATAATTTATCTATCATCTCCAAGTTATGATTGACCAATTTTATTTTGCTTGCTAGATCAGTGGACAAAGATTCGCACTTTCTTCAATTACCTCTTGACCACCCGGAACTGCCACTGTCAAAGTGACACCACTTGATTGGGAGAACTGCCGCTTTCACAGGCTTTTGATTGCAAAGAACATGAACATACGACTACCCAGGCAATATCTTCAGTACGTCCTTAAGTTTCAATGCACTCGTGATAGCTAATCATGACCACTATTTGGCTCATATAGATGGTGACAAATGGATGACACCTTTTGGTCGATCACAGCGATCACACTCTTGTTCATGCAGTATCACCATAACCTGCACCCGATCTGAGGCTTCTGCATCGTTGAGAGGAGGATTGCCAGCAACTGCGGTAAGTTCCGTCAGTTTATGGTGCTGTCGTCTCGGCTGATGGGTCGTTATAGCACCTTGATCCCTTCTCTTGGGGTCGGGGGCGACATTTTTTTTTCAGTTTCATGCAGACTGATTGTGTCGGGTAAACTGTGACTGTGTTGGCTATTATGATCATTCTCCAAGTATGCAATTCGTCTCGCTTGCGACACCCCATGTTTAACAGTTTCCCGCGATAGGTGTTGGCAAAGTCAACCCATCAGCGTCACTCCTCCATGACCCGTTTCATTTCGCCCTTGATAATTCACAGACAGGGTATCATCCGATATACAACTCTTCTGCTACTCCTTACGCGGACTCCGGGCCACCACATTTGCATCCTCCTCGATACCTTTCCGCGTTCCCTCCTCCCATCGTGTCCGTTGACGGGATATCTACTTTGACACCAGAGGCAGAAGATATTCAGCCTCTTCAAATTGGAGAGCCACCGCTGCACCTCGACGAGCCACTACCTCTTGGAGATTCGTTCACCGTCAGTGAGCCTTCGCCTCCCGTTCCTGGTCCATCTGGATCACGCAGTCGCCAACCGCCGGTAAAAGGGTTAGATGTTAGAATTTGGCCCTATCCGCATGCCCGATCAAAGCTGAGGGGCCTCACTAGCACTATGGTGAGTAATCACGATTTACAAATCGTCAATTACTGATGACTTATCAGGGCTCTTCGGGTGTTGCCCCGCCCATGGTGCTCCCACGGACATCTGCCATCGCGCCTTTACAATACAGCGACAAGATCCGAGTCCACCGAAGAATTTTCGAAGAGGCGCGTGTAACGCTCATTCGATCGGCACTCGTAGACTGTCCCTTCTTGACCGTTCTTCTCAACGCGATTCTGAAACTCGGCTATGTGCCTTTCGTCACAGAACTCGACAGCTTGTATTGCACAGGAGAGCAAGTACTCTGCTATGATTTTGAAACCGGATCATGAACCTCTAGATGATCAGGAACTCCCATCAAGCCGAACTGCGGAGTCTTCTAAGAATCCCCCCGAGTGCCAACAAGGAATCCCCCAGCTGCTTTGCATACCCATCCTTCATTGCATGTGCTCAAAAGCAATCACCTCTCTTTCCAAAGCTACGATCCCTCGCATGGCATGATTCTTCTCTCACCTGTATCCCAGTCCTCAAACTCCTCTTACCCACAGTTGAGATCCCCTCCCTCGACATCTCATCTTCATTTCGCAAAGCCATCATCCCTGCACTCCCTACCTTCGCCCCTCGCCTCAAAGCTCTTGAGATCAAGGGCAGCCTCTTCATGACTGACAAAATCCCTCCGAAATTGAATCCCTCCTCATCAGTTATCCCGATGGTCTCACAGAACTTTCGACATGCCAGTTGCATCATGTCCCGAGCACCATCCTCAATGTCATTGCACTCTGGCCATCTCTCCGATCCCTCACTTTAAAGCTAGGTATCGACAGCATCCCTACCCTACCTCTCCACATCCCTCAGCCCTTTTCCGCACTCACTCACCTGTACATCTCATGCGATGACAATCTGGACCTTTTCACATCTTTCTTACGCACCTTCCAAATCCTCAATTTCGGTTCCTCCAATAATCCTTCCATCACATTCTGCAACCTCAAAACAATTCAGTTCAATGCAGAAGGCCAGAGTTCCGCTAACACCTGGTCCCAATTCCTCACTTCTCTCGCCGATACAAACACGAAACTAGAGCACATATTTATAACCGAGTCATGCTATTTTCAATCCATCCCACCCTCCTCTTTCGAATTTCGCCCCCTACTCGCCCACCCGAATCTTGCACGCCTCAGTACCCTCATACTTTCTCCCAGCCGTACAACCTCCATCGTACTCACCGACGTCGACATCCTCATGCTCGCTCGTATATGTCCTCATCTCCACATTCTTGACTTGGGGCTGCGTAATACCCCCGTGTCCCTGCATGCTTTGAATATCATCGTCAGGCGTTGTCGTGAGTTGCGCGAGGTCTCGCTCTGCATGGACGTGCGGGTCGATGCGCTCAGAAATAGAGATAACGAAAATACTGACAACGACAAAGTAGGTCTACAACCTAACGATGGCTTGATCAAACTGGAAGTCGGGGACTCGCTCCAGCCTATCGCATGCCCCACAGTGCGCCCTATGCCCTCATCACCAGAGCTGACAGAGTCAATCTCACAATTCTTGCATGCGATGGCACCCCGGCTTAACCCGTTTTAAGTACCGAGGCAGCAACGAAGACGAACGCCAACTCGAACTCTAATACGACCGGGCGTATTGTCAAGTGCCGTCGACCTCTGACGAACATGCACTATTATCATGTTCTCGATATGTCCCTTGCTCCCGACGATCGTGTAAGGGACGTTACGATTTTTTCATATGTAACTATCAACGGGACCACGAAAATGCCTTCCTTCCGACTCTACTAATCAATCGCATCGTTGCTAACTCATTGCATCCTTAACATCCAGCAGAACAAAGATCGGGAATTGGGATATCTATGGCAAGTCGATGCGAACGGGTGAGTTTTGGTAGCTCGACAATCGTCGCATAGAGTCTCACCGGATGACCTGGCTCACATCTTGCACAGCCCTCTGAACCTCTCCTTCAGCTTCTCCCAACGTCCGACTCCCAGCGGGACCTCCGCATCACCACCCGCAACCTCTACTTCCGGACTTGGGACTCTCCCCCTTTGCCCTCGCCCCAAATGCACTTGTCCATGTGGCGTTTCAGGACGCTGGATAAATCGAGCATGCCGCTAACATATTTTTAGCAATGATCAACGAGTAGATAGCATTGGTACTCACCGCGTACACTCGAGTTACGTTGTACCATGTCAATCGGATCGACAGATTAATATTGATCATTGTATTGTGGTAGGATGAGTGTTTTGTAAATGAAGCTTTGCGGTTTGATCTTTTGGAGTAGTACCATCACCGCCATGTGGGACTTATGATTAAACGATCACGTGCACAGCTGAGTTTGAATGCTGCGTCCCAGGCGCGTATAGTACAGCGCGTCGCATGCAAGCAGGCCAAGCTTCTCGCATCCCTCACCATTTTGAGGCCCATCTCAAGACTATCATGCGTAATATCCAAGCAACAGGCGCAGATGCCACTCCTGACGACTACCATGTCGTTCTGCATCAGTTCGCCGCTGTGGGTCACTATACCAGTGCAATGCAAGTACTCGCAGAACTCACGCACGTCTGCAAACTGGATCCATTCGGCCTATGCCTCAAAGCAATCGCACACCGTTTGTCTCTGCCAATATATAAGGTGTAGTGTGAGGACATGCTTGCTGATGCAAGCAAGCTTTGCCGGAAGCTGCTCAAGGAAATGTCAGCTCGGGATATGCCTTTAACATCTTTCAACCTTGACTTGGTGATACGTATCCGAGGTTCTCACCCAACCCTTTCCACCACAAGCCAGCCAGCACTATTCACAAGAGTTCGATGATGAGGATGACTTTGGAATCGCAAACCCCGCGTCGACCGAGCCACACCTAGTAACACCCCACGCCCGGCCTAATACTACTTCGTACAATATCTTACTGAAGCATATCTCGCGCGCAGGCCATGCCACCTTTGCGCGACATTATCTCTACCAAGCTGTGCGCCTGGATCGTTCGGTCGACCGTCTTTTACGGAGTCAACTGTATCGTGATCCCCATGGCACGCTTGCACTGCACTTCAGCCTTAACCGGGGCACCATAATACCTGTTTTTGGAGAGTCTAACAGAGACAAGAATATAGAGTTGATGCGATGGGTTGGATGGGTTACGAGACAGACCATACGGAGGAAGAAAAACGATATCGCGTGGTACTCTGAGCTATGCGACAGCCTCCCTCCTCCATTTCCCTCAGAACCAACTTCCTGTAGTTCTTCCAGCTCCTCGCCACCAGACGTCTCGACAGCTCTAGATGTCGGCCTCGACACTCCTTCCACGGCCCCAGAATTCCACCCACAGGAGAAAATATTCGATATAAACCTCCACCTGAACATACTCATCGCTAAACTTGGACGCTGATTCTACGTACACAACGCACGCAAGATTATACTACTTTGTGCCTTGCTTATAGTTTTCTTGTCCTCCACGTTCCCTCCTTCTCCCATTTATCTCTAGATGCCTGAAAACCCTCAGCAGGCTCCAGATGTCGCTGCAGCACCCTCAAAATCAAAACACGGTGCTACATCCCAAGCTGCACCCGCACCGAGGAAAGTTAGATTCAACGTTGGTATGTCTTCGTCCTTGCTATTCAATCATTCAATTTAACAAAGTCTTTCTCTCAATAGGTACTCAGTATCAGGTTCTCGATGTCGTAGGCGAGGGTGCATGTGGTATCGTCTGTTCAGCTGTTCACCGGCCCAGTGGCCGCAAGGTTGCCATCAAGAAGATCGCACCCTTTGATCATTCCATGTTCTGCTTGCGGACACTCCGAGAACTAAAACTCCTCAAATTTCTCAGTGAAGCTGGCGTGAGCGATAATGTGAGCGTGTCTGCTGGCCATTCGTTATATTTACGTGCTCAGTCATAACTTTAAAGATCATTTCAATTTTGGACATTATCAAGCCTCCTTCTCTAGACGCTTTCAAAGAAGTTTATCGTGCGTAAAAATATGTTATTCAACTCACATGTCATTCAAACTTTCACACAGTGATCCAGGAGCTGATGGACATGCAGTTATCCGAACCCAAGACCTCTCAGATGACCACGCTCAATATTTCATATATCAAACCCTGCGCGCACTCAAGGCCCTACATTTTGCTGATGTCATCCACCGTGATCTCAAACCTTCAAATCTCCTCCTTAATGCAAACTGTGATCTCAAGGTCTGCGACTTTGGGCTGGCACGATCAGTAAAGACCGCCGAACCATCAGGCACCGAAACCGGGTTTATGACCGAATATGTCGCTACACGGTGGTACCGAGCCCCTGAGATCATGCTGACGTTCAAGCAATATACTAAAGCTATCGACGTCTGGTCTGTTGGATGCATTTTGGCTGAGATGCTCTCCGAAAAACCTTTGTTCCCCGGCAGAGACTACCACCATCAGCTCACCTTGATCTTGGATGTTCTCGGCACACCAATGCTGGACGAGTTTTACGCCATTACCACACGCAGATCACGAGATTATATTCGAGCTCTTCCTTTCCGCAAACGCCGGCCATTTGCGCAAATCTTCCCCAACGCCAATCCTTTGGCTGTAGACTTCTTGACAAAGACTCTCGTAAGTCACGATCTTCTCATCTATTTGAGTGGTAGCTCAAACCTTTCTCCTAGACATTCGATCCTAAGAAACGCATAACAGTCGAAGAGGCTTTGGCTCACCCATACCTCGAAGCATATGTATGTGTACTTCTTACTCCTCGAACGCACAAGCTTACTTGTGATTCAGCACGATCCCGATGACGAACCAGTTGCACCACCGCTCGACCCGGAGTTCTTTGAATTCGACCGTAAGTACTCAGGTTTGATAAGCGCACATGCATATTTACCGTATTCGGCAGTACACAAGGACGATATCAGCCGCGAACAGCTCAAAGAGTTCCTCTACGAAGAGATCATATCCTTCTGTCCCGCCCCAATCACCTAAACACACCATCGCTGTTCATAAACCAGAGGATCCATATGTAATACTGTGCCGAGCGTCAAATTGAATTAGGAGATAGAAATATGTACGAAATATGTCCTTTGGTACCTTCTAACCGGTAGTCGTGCTGCTTTGCTATGGACAGTACTCATTCGATGTTTTTGTGTATCTCCAGAAAAATCTAGACGAACTCGTGACGTGGTATGAGAACCACTACGAAGTCACGTTCAGTCGGGTAACGCAACGGGTGAAGAAGCGACTTGGCAGAATGGTATGGGTCAAGGATTGGTGCTGTCTAAGAGGTACCATCAACAAGAGTGGACATCACTAGGACGTTCTCCTGGTACCTTCATTGCCAAAGCGGCTTTCCATTAAAATGGCTTAGATGGCCTTGAACCTGAAGCATATACGAGTCAAACTGAGAATGGACTTGCAGGGTGAGAGTGCTGGACTATTGTATCTTACTTGCTATGATGTCGCTATACTTGAACCCTTGTCATTGTAGTCACGTGGTCTAAACATTTGCCGGTCATTGCCAAAGCGGCTTTCCATTAAAATGGCTTAGATGGCCTTGAACCTGAAGCATATACGAGTCAAACTGAGAATGGACTTGCAGGGTGAGGGTGCTGGACTATTGTATCTTACTTGCTATGATGTCGCTATACTTGAACCTCGTCATTGACGCATCTTCTAAGTCTAGATTTGCACGGATCAATGGTCATTTATGAACAACACAAATTTCTTCTAGAATACATAGATATATTTGGCAAAAGCGTAATTGTATCGGTCTATAGGTCTCATGACTACCATATCACGGACTCATGAATTCACTGATGTACAGCGGCCACACCACCTCACGATTGGGAGACAAGATCCATTTCAAGTCATACTCCATCCTTAGGATTTCATCTATTTCAATGTTCACCGGTGCACTGGCTGCCTTGTCTTGCCACCGGGAGCATAGACGACACATTGCGCGTCAAGGGTACTCAACGAACCATTTAATCTCCATGTTTAGAACTTGGGCAGTTTGGTTCAAACCCTAGCGAATAAAATGTTACTCACACGTTGGTAAGGATCCCCAGGGGCTAGGGCCCATTTCCACAACTGCGGACATGCGTATGTACCCTCGCATCAGTGAATCAGTGAACAAATGAGAATGGTATCTAAAGCAATATCATGTAAAGCATCGCAACAATCTTCGTAAATCTGCTGACCGCTTCCACATGGGAATATTTGGCATTGTCGAGGAAAGACAAATTTGGAAGCACGCCAGCCCAGTATCACTATTTGCTTCGCGAGCTCTTCCACATGGATGAATCGACGAAAAATTTAATGCGCACAGGTTCATGAAATTAAATACTGACTGGAACTGAGAGGGTCAAGAAAGCAGGATTCAATGTCCTGAAATGAAAGACACTTTGGTGAAGTTCCCCGTAGCGTGAATGGATGACGTTTAGTCTTCGTACAATACATTTTTGCTAGTTCAGGATGACTATAACATGAATGCAACTTGCTCGAACCTAAAAAGCAGAAGTCCGTGGTGCAACAAGATCACGACAGCAGAATCGTGCATATTGCATGTCTATTGGTCGAACGTCAGTCAAAACAATATATCTCATTCAATCTTATATCGGATCATCTCTTCTGGCAAAATAAAAAGCCTCCAATTTTGATCCGGTTCAAAGAGTTCCCGGTAGTGACCGTCTCTACAAATGATGTAAAACTTGGTGTAGCGCTACAAGCATACATAATAATTGTGCTAAACGGTAATCACACCCATGAATGGTCCTTTTCACAATTTAACAATGGCCTCCCTAGCCTAAAAATTCTGAACACCGTCTTTAGACATCGAATTTTGGTTAGTCTTTTCTTAGATTACCTGATGACCGTCTGCTTTACATTGGTTAGCAATCCGTGGGAAGAAGCGTTTCCTTTGCGCACAAGCCGAGGTGTGTTCACAGAGCGGGCGATAATCAATTCTGCTTGAAAATCCCAACTTTCACCATTAATGGGACAATTCGTCAACGTGTGACGAAAGCAAATACCTTCCAGAGGATGACGATATGCTCACCGCGCGACCAACAACATATTTATATGCTGCTTGCACTTTTGATGCTATCCTCGTTAGATATCGAATGACTGGGAGTTGTATCCCACTTTGCATACCGTCACAAGATGTCGTAGCCTTGCGTGGGCACTATATATTCATATTATAGTGCTTTGAGTCAGTATTCTCAGTACCTGGGCTCGCGAGTTGTCGGCGGTGTATCCAGTCGTATTGCATTCAAATCACACATCCAGATAAAATTTGATCAAAGCAATGATAGCATTAACATTAGCAGCGGAGCGAATAATGTACTATGTAGGACTGAACCGAGCAACGAGGATATAATGATCAACAAGTAAAAAAGTCGGCTACTAGTCGGAGTCAAACGCAGAGTCTTCCATTTGCTGTCTCTGGGCAGCAAGAACATTGACGGACATTTTGGAAATGACGTCCGGCGTCAAATCCTGCCGATGGTTTCTTCCGAAAACTTTTCTGTGCGGGGGTGAGCAATCATAGCGAGTCACTGACAATTGGTTACCTAGTCCACCGCTCAAGAAGGCCGTTCAGCCTAGCTCGCGCAGCTGGGCCCGGAGCATTTTCGAAGAAGTCCACAATATTATTCCAGAATATCTCATAGTCGAAATCTCCATCCACTGTGCGCCACGAGGTAATGCTAGAAAGAGCGAATCGGATCTGCAAAAGTCAATGTCAAGTTCACCATTAGAAACAAGCACTGATACTTACCTGGCAAGCTGTATATGTGATGGTGCGAGGAGTCACCTTCCTCATGCCTATGATAGAGGCGACACATGTTTTTACCTTGACTTGATCTAATTGTCTACGGGCATGACAGTTATTCTCGATGATATCAGCACCGTCACCGTCACCATCCGCTTCATCGGCGGAGGAGGGGGAGGTAAATATGGCCTTGAACCCCTGTAATGCGATGAGATATGATCAAGTTAGAAAATCCGACGGCTCACCATAACTAACAGCTTCGACTTCATGAGATTGCGCTCCAAATCCCCAGAATTAGCTTCGTAGTTTTGATACATAAATAGAGGCCACAAGTTCTCGGACACAATGAAAGCAGTGGTACAGTCACGAACTCCAGCTTTGACCCTGGTCCAAATATTAAGGGAATGTGAATATGGAAGACAGAATCGTCACTTACGCTGAATCCTCCCAGGACCATTCCGCGGGACAAAGTAGTTTACTGCAGGCGTTGTTCATGAATCCTCGATAGTGCTTGTCACTGGTCTTGATGAGTGGAGTGGGATGGAATTCGTCGTTAACCCAAGAAGCCACAAGCTCTTTAAGAGTACCTGTGTCATCGCCGCGGGCTGAGTCCGCGCCCCGCTTGAGCTACATGCATATGAGTAAGAGGTGTGACAACAAATGAATCAGTACAGAACCTTTCTGCGCATGTCTTCCGAATCGTCATGGTCAAGGTTTGCCAGCTTCTCGTGGACCCATGGTAATGCCTTGGTGAGTTCTATATAACCACGCTGAAGTCGGTCCTGTCTGTAGATTTTGGTAAGTAAATCATGTTGATAAGTAGATGGCTATTTACTCCAAGTTACTGGAGTCGCAGCCTTCACAATGCCGGTCGTTTTCGGCGATTAGGTCGTCTATGGATGCGTACAAGACAACCATGCGACGGATTGCTCGCCCCTGAGAGATATAATAAGTTGTCTTCCTACATACGACGAGAAATTAATAGCGCCCTCAGACTTACAAAGAGAAAGCGCAAACCTATGTTTTGTCGCCTTGTCCTGCTTCAAAATTTCAACCTCGCTCATCAAGCTGGCAATTCTTCGCTTTGCCCTTGCATGAGGAGACGTGGGGACACATAAAGAGCCGTCTGGAGGGCCACCTGGCTCATTTTCAGATGCAGACATACCAGAGAAATAAAGCACAGAAGGAGATGGGTGCAGACCGGAAGAGAACCTGCGAAGTCGTCTAAGTTATAACATGTCAATGCAATGTCAATGATGCCAAACAAATTCGGAGACCTTAATTTAACGGATCACCATGCAGAAGCGAGAAAGCTTTTTCGGTTGCTCGTTCAGCCTTTCTCGGTTGCTCGTTCAACCTTACTCGGTTCCTACGACCCTGTTCGTATTAAGCTATTCCATATCACATAACTTCGATCTAGGTCTAGGCCTGATCCGCGTTACTGCTTGCTAAGTTGCATAGTCATCATCATGATAGAAACACGCCGTTTGTAATCAAAACCAAGGATGCTTACCAGTATGGTAGACCTTTTGGACAGACGATTCATTCTGCATAGCATAGGATGAATCTCGGTCCCAGCATCAATGGACCCTCCCCGAACTGCACACTGCACGTTGTAGAGAATCATGCCTCTCATGGCGTGATATGGTAGTTTTCACCAAGGAGTATACAGCACGAACTCATAGCATTACTCTGTGCGCTACCCGCAGCTATCTCTATATGAGGCGCAGCTTTCCCACGCAACGCGCGCCATGCGCGCACCATTCCCGCGCTTCACGATGTATACGCGCGCCCGCGTTCCCGCGCTTGCGCGCCCTATAGCGCCAGCCATCCAGATGCATCCATCCACTGTCCACCAAGCTCCCTAGTATGTATATTTCCATTTCCTTTATTAGCATAGTTCCACCTTTATTTTTATCATAGTTTCTCACTCATATATATTTTTACATACCTACTCGGTAGCGCTTCGGCTCCGCATGAGCGCGCTTAGGCGCGCTATATAAGCGCTAGCAGTACATACTACACGGGACCTACTTTTCCTACTTTTCACTTACTAGTTACTACCCACTTACTACTTAGCAGAATATAGTAGAAAGCTATTCCTTTACATTTTGCACTCTTATATCTCTTATCTTGCTTTATATCACTACTTAAGCTTAGTTTCTCATTTCCGCATACGCGCGCGCACTTTCCCGCGCTTCGCGCTAATACGCGCGCGCGTTCCCGCGCCTTTGTACCTTGCGCGCTCCTGCGCTTTCTCGCGCTTCGCTTAAGCGCACACTTCTAGATCCTTGCTGCACTCACTTCCCCTATAGGGTCGAACGCACTTGCTTCTCAAGTAACACAGACTAGGCAGCGCGCGACCTTACAACTTTTACAGATACAGTCAGGAGCTTCTTTTGTTCCTCATTGTATTGTTGTTTCTACAACGTGATTGATCTCGGCGTGCAGAGACTCGGACACGATCCTAGTGAAAATGGGCCTGCGGCAGCAGCAGTGAGTCCGGCCCTGAGTGTCTTTCAAAGTTAGTACCATACAACCCCCCTAACAAGCATCGACTTCTTACCCTAGCTGTAGTATGCCTGTAAGGATAGAACCACCACCTTTGACCCCGTTGGCATAGAACGCACAGATCATGATAGCAATGAGACTGTGACGGGGATAGCCTGAGATCACGGACTCGGAGGTGAAGTTGCGGACTCTGGGATTAGTAGGTATGTGTCGATGAGTACGAATTGTCGGATGACTTCGGCAAATTGTCACAGTGCGCGATTTTTCAAAATCAGCCGGCAAATACCGGCAATAGAAGGTGCTACAAACTCTAACTTCTAAGTGTCAAGTATCGTGTCAACATCCTTTACGCTAGCTAAAATTGGACGTCTGGATGGTAACTCGAAAGAACCGAGTAAGGATCCGACTGGATGACAGGGTGCAAATTGTGCCAAGCCTGAGACCTCCGACCGGGTATCGCTGGTAAGTGACTTCCTACCTTAGTAGTACCGCCGCAACTGCTGGCACGCTGAGAAACTTTGAATTGCCGCGGCTTCTGTCAAGATCATATCATATCGGGCCAAGCTTTGGTACTACGATAAAAGTTGCATGAGTTCCAACAACTTAGCAGTGAGTTTTGACATCCCATTTGCTCACCATGTCTAGCGCTCTCATATCAAATCCTACTAACTCTCCTACTAGTAGCCGTCTTGTCGATTATCGGAAGATTCTATCTCAGAATATTCGAGTCAACAATACCGGTGATTCGGATTTTCCTCCGGGTCGTCAGCGACTCGTGCTCAAACTGCTGCTTATCTACTTGGTACCCGTAAAGAACTGCCTGATATCGATAATGAAGCAATGAACCGCATGCGCGCAGTTCAGAATTTTTACGAAAACCCGGCGATCATGACGGACGACCAGCCGATAGAACTCACCGCCCAATGCTACAACCGTGACAAGACTGACTCACTGGCAGGACTCGAAAAAAGTAAGTTAAATATATGGGTGCGAGTCATATCATCGGATGCTCACGATGGAGTCGTGTTAGTTGAGTTTAGAGTTCCGTTACACACCACAGATAGCAGCCGATGTACCACATACGTGGACAGGCTATTCTCTGAATCAGACTTTCGGGTCGACATCTTCGACACTGTAAGTGCTACAATGGACGTTCCGAAGATGTATCAGCACTTGGGATGGCGGTTGTCTACCGCCCGCCGCTCGGACCCGCCCCACCGCCTTTTGACTCCAGATGACATTGATAGTGCTTTTAAAGCTGCTAGAGCAGAGCAGAGCTCTGGGAGGGGGAAGAAGAAAGTTGTGATCGATATCCTCAATATGGTACGAGTTTGATTATCACTAGTGGTCTACCAGTATGGCACATATTAACTTACTTCCAGGTACTGGCGCTAAAGGAAAACCGAACGAAACGAAAGTCAGCCACATTCGAGTCATCTGCTGGTGAGGAGAGCCTGCCATCACTTTTACCGTACACGAAAGAGTTGAAGAATGTAAAGAATAAGCTGCTCTGCTCCGAGCATGGAGATAACACCTTTTGTTGGGTTGATGCAACACAGCCAACTACTCCGCATTATCCGCTTTGCACACAAGACTTGCAAGAGTGGGCTAAGTATTTAGTACGTGCATCATTTGTTATTTGCAAGTTCACTGATCAAGACGGTCATGGTGTTTGTAACTCTACCAGCATGATACTCACGATCCTGACAACCCGTGCATCACTCCGCCCAAGTCTCTCTATTTCGACGAAATTCGAAAGACACGCAAGGAACGATCTACCATAACCTCGTCACTCCAGAGGGTGCCCACCGAGCTCGTCTCACCTGTTATCCACAATCATATCCATCTCGCGCCTGCTGCTGATGACATGACGATCTCCGACGGAGCACTTACCAGACAACAAGGAAATGGTGCCGCCATGCCTTCTCGGCCATTGAAGAGGACATACACCCTTTACATGGAAAGTGATGAAGAATCAGATGATGACGAACCGCCCCAATCTATCGAGGACGTCCTTGCGAGTATCCATTCTCGCTACCCTGCACTCAATTTTCCTGAGTATATCGGGAAAATGAAAGATCATGGTATATTTTATTTGCCCACTGCAGCTCACTTCGATATCATATTCTATGAGGAGAATATTGGTATGACAGCAGGCGCTGCGTATACTTTCCAGATGTGTGTTTCCTGAGCTTATATGCAGGCGGAACGTTTGAAGGGGAGGAGCAAGGCCAAAGGGAAGAAGAAAGCGTGAGTTGAGTTTGGCGACAATGACGAAGAAATCGTAGCGACACTGGGAACTTCGTCGGTCCCTGACTTCAACTTTGGGAGCTCAAGAAATGACGATAGATTGGTAGCAAACAGTCTATCATTACACAAAAATCATTCGCGTAGTATGTACGGCACTTCGCAAATTAGATGCAATGCACTATAGATTTCACAATGTTATTTGAGTCTATCATCATCGCGGACGGTATGTGGGAGGAAAGTTGTTATGGATACCGAATTGACCGAGTCCCACTAGTAGTAGTCTGACTCGCTCACGAACATCATTTCCATAACATACACGCATGTTCAAACAACTATTGGCTATACTACTTCTGGCAGATACAAGGAACAGTTGAGTGCATGAGATACGTCTTGCCAGGTCCGTGACGCTACCCAAATAAGTGTCCACATATGACGTATTCTGCCTCATTCATTAGGACTACAATCACATGAGGATGATAATGGTCTCACCTCAGTTGTCAAACTCAGGCTCGGAGTTCAAGGCCAACCTGTCCTTCAACTCGCACTCGAAGGCCTTGCCCTCCATCGTGTTATTATTACCAGGCACATGATTCTCGGGCTGACACAAGTCACGCGCAAGACCCTCGGCCTGATCAAGCTGTGAATCAGCAGCGAGGAATGCCGTTATTTCACGCTGATAATGTTTCTTCTTTGCGTCTATGTCAACTTCGCGCCCCATCTCATTCCTTCGGCTCAAAAGATCTTGGAGGAATTTGATCTCCGCGCTGGTACGAGCATATCTGATAGCATCCTGCTGGAGGACCAGTTGAGACAACGTAGCGTGTTGAACATCTGCCTCCACTTCCCAAGCAGTTGCCAGGGCAAGGACGCGCTGCCATTCCCGCTTAGCTTGCTGCGCGATGATGGCTTGCGTGACAATCTGAATAGAAATAAATCTCAGGCCGTTCTCCAAGGTCTCTTGGCTCTCAGGCTGGTAGGGTGCTTGTCAATATGAAACGGTACACCCATAATGTTAACATAGTACCTCTTGGTGGTCAACTCCCGGATCCGAGTTCGGGCAAGACTTCTTGAGCTGTGATTTTGCACATTTCACAGAGTAAGATAAATTCTTTATTACATGGGGGATGTGCGGAGGCGCACGGAGTTCATCGTCTGATGAACCACTGTCGTCGCCAATGGGTGCCTGTTGGCGCTCATATGGTTTGGGACTCAGGTGCCTGCTCTTGAGCTATCTGGAAGAGTTAGGACTGTTATCAGGGCTTTTGCTAGTTGCGATAGAACTTGGAGGAGTGGTGAGTTGGCTGTACATTTATGTACACGTATATCCTGGAGGGTAGCGGTAGCAGATGGGGGATATGAAGCTGGACCTCAAAGTGTTGCTTTGACACGTAATTAGGATTGTTTGTGATTCTCACGGACTTCCTTCTATCCCAAGAGGAGTCCGAACAGCGGCAAACTCAGAACCTTATAGATCCTATGAAAAGGCTACGGCCACCTAAACTAACTTCGATTGGTCTTATGGGCTTATCCATTTGCAACCAAGCATGAACCAAGCATGAAGCATGCATGTTTGTCGCCTTAATGTCGGGGCAGTTGAATCACTTGACTGGCCCGGGTATCTAGACTCTGGAGTCAGTTGGGTGAATTGGTATTAGCCTGAGAAATACGGTCGTGTGATTCAAATTGGATGATCGATCCGGTTCAAATCAGACCTAACGTTACGGTAGTACCAGTACCCCCATTTCAATGCCATGGTCTACCAGTGTACCGTGACTAGCCTCACCCCAATTTCAATGCCGTGGTCTGTAGGCACCCCCTAGTATTGCCACTGGCATGACTTCTACTAAAGAAGGCTGTTTCCCGTCAAGTTATAGTGGCAATCATCTCATTGAATCTTTGACAAGTTTGCCTACTAACTTCTTGTACCCAGATTCGAGTCATGCAGCGATCGCTACCGTTGCCAGAGCCCTGGCCAGCGGCGCAGCCTCCGAGTCATCTAATAATGACTATGATGACTCGGATGACTTCAAGTTGTCGTTGGACCTAGCGTACGGTCAGAGTCATGATGACCGTAGTAGTGATTGGAAGGCCCTACCGTATCCGAGTCATGATGACAGATCGCAGCACAGTCACATTTTCCCTGGCGCACAGGGTGACCTAGCACTCGCTAATCCCACCAGTTTTTCCAACGCCGATTTATACACTTCGAATTCTCATCGAGAGTCTGAACCTTCCTTCCACTCAGACTCGGTCGCCCACCAGGCATCCTTGGCGGGCGTGCCAGGTTTACAAACCATTTGTAGGCATTGTCCATTCACGCTAACTTCATGTCACTGACTCGGAACTACCTGTAGCTGACAGTTTCAGCATGGACCGACGTCAGGGTCAGTCACAGTTGTACCGGCAGCAGGAGGCTCAGAATTATGAGGATTGGGTGGCCTTATCCAATTCGTCGCGTATCTGGTTGCCTTACAACGTACCTGGCAGTCGTAGTACTTTCCTTGGCACACAGCACCTAGATCCAAACAAATTTTATGCCAATTGTTACTCTCCTCAAGAGCCTGGACCTTTCCAACCCTACTCGGACTTGGTCACTCACCAGGCGCCCTCAGGTATGTCATGTACACAGACCGTTGGTGGGCGTTACCTATTCATACTAACTTTCTGTCGCTGACTCAGAACCACGTGTAGCTAATAGTTTCAGCGTGGACCGATCTCAGAGTCAGCAGTTGCAGCGACAGTGGGACGCTCAGAGTCATGATGATGATCGCTGGGAGGCCCTACTTGGCAGATCGCAGAGTACCTCAGGCTGGTCGCCATACAATATATCTGCCAGTGGCAGTCATACTTCCCCTGGCACACAGCACCTAGCACTCGCTGATCCCACCAGTTTTGGTGCCGATTCACATACTTCAAGTTCCTCTCGAGAGCCTGGGCCTTCAAAATCCCACTCCGACTCGGTCACCCACCAGGCGCCCTCAGGCACGCCAGGTAGGCATCGTCCATTCATGCTAAATTATGCCGCTGACTTAGAACCACCTGCAGCTGATAGAGTCAGTGGTGTCGAAATCGACACAAGACTCCTAACAGTACCTCGACTCAACGTCAGCTTGCCATTACATCGGTTTCATCCATATCGTAGACCCGGCGCCGTCCAAGCTAGTCGTGATCCAATACTTTTGGACTCCAACTTGGAAATGGTTTGTCCGAGTCATAGTGTAACAGTAACGCCTCCGCCCCTGCCGTTGCGGCGGGGCCTCTATTCCCTACCGATGCTATTACTACGATCCCGCGAGCATTTCACGTGTTTTATACTCAACGATCATGACGGTGTAGAAACAACAATACAATGAGGAACAAAAGAAGCTCCTGACTGTATCTGTAAAAGTTGTAAGGTCGCGCGCTGCCTAGTCTGTGTTACTTGAGAAGCAAGTGCGTTCGACCCTATAGGGGAAGTGAGTGCAGCAAGGATCTAGAAGTGTGCGCTTAAGCGAAGCGCGAGAAAGCGCAGGAGCGCGCAAGGTACAAAGGCGCGGGAACGCGCGCGCGTATTAGCGCGAAGCGCGGGAAAGTGCGCGCGCGTATGCGGAAATGAGAAACTAAGCTTAAGTAGTGATATAAAGCAAGATAAGAGATATAAGAGTGCAAAATGTAAAGGAATAGCTTTCTACTATATTCTGCTAAGTAGTAAGTGGGTAGTAACTAGTAAGTGAAAAGTAGGAAAAGTAGGTCCCGTGTAGTATGTACTGCTAGCGCTTATATAGCGCGCCTAAGCGCGCTCATGCGGAGCCGAAGCGCTACCGAGTAGGTATGTAAAAATATATATGAGTGAGAAACTATGATAAAAATAAAGGTGGAACTATGCTAATAAAGGAAATGGAAATATACATACTAGGGAGCTTGGTGGACAGTGGATGGATGCATCTGGATGGCTGGCGCTATAGGGCGCGCAAGCGCGGGAACGCGGGCGCGCGTATACATCGTGAAGCGCGGGAATGGTGCGCGCATGGCGCGCGTTGCGTGGGAAAGCTGCGCCTCATATAGAGATAGCTGCGGGTAGCGCACAGAGTAATGCTATGAGTTCGTGCTGTATACTCCTTGGTGAAAACTACCATATCACGCCATGAGAGGCATGATTCTCTACAACGGCTTCCTCATGGATGCAGACACCTTGAAAGGTCATGCACGTCGCAGCTTAGACGCAACGTTCGGACAAAATAATCGCAAGTGTCTCGAATTACTCGATATCAATGGCTAACAATTGAAAAAAGTCGATCTTATCGAGTGGGCCAGCGGCGAGCCCGGAGTCCTCGAGGTATGCAAGATAATCCAAACCCAAAAATTCATCAAGGATGAAATTAGAGATTGTTTGGCAATGTGCTGCAAATCCCTATATGGCATCTGGGATGCCCTTGGCGAGATGTCTGAACAAGACTTTATAGCCTTTATTGCAGACCTTCTTACGGGGGAGAAGTTTCTTAACGGGCCTATTGAGGTAAGCCACTGCTCCCCAGCCCGGGCTTGAAGTTCGTTCTAAATCTTGTGGTGCTTGCTTCAGGTCGAAGGGGTAATGCGTAACATTCCCTTTGGACATGTTGGTATGCGTACCTCTGTGAGACACTTGCTATATTCTGGACTCCGTTACGAGCAGTACATCAGCCCTAGTTTGAACCTCGAGCCACTCCTCACATTTGTCGGTCTGGCGATTGCTTGGGTGTTGTCCCAACACAAAAGTGGAACTTTTGTTAAAATTGGTTTCATTAGTAGCAGTCCTGATAGGGTCGAGCTTCACAAAAGGCTACGGAAAATTTTTCAAAAATTGACACCGGCCGAGTTGAGGGCTTTAACCATACATATCTTCACACAAAGGGGTGTACCGCCAAATATTTAGTTACATCAAAAATGTAGTAGTTCAAAGCAATGAAACGGATCCGATTTCCACATGTGGGAGCCTCGTGTCCGTACGTGACCAGTGCTCTCTTAGTAATGATGACTCACTCGGTGAACAACCACCGGCCGCGATGATCGACTGCAGAGTTAGTACGCACACCATTGCACCCAAACTTGAAGCTGTCACGGTCTTCCTAATTGCCAACATACATACAAGCTGAGTGTACTACAAGTCTCAAATTCGTTCAGACAGGCGTGAAGTTATGTGATTCTGCATATCTGCTTTCTTCTAAAAACTCCAAGTACCTCAGGGAAGTCGGATATGGTTGTACTACTACTAGTACTACTTGAACGGCAAGAAGTAGTATGTGTCACTCCGTCACTTGGTCCACAGCTGCTAGTTCTGTTCATGCTTGCGGCATTTCAGATACTACGCCCTTCACATAGTCAACACTATTCGCGTTGGCATGGGCCTCCTCGGCATGCTCGCCCAATTCCATTTTTGCATCTTGCGCAAGGTAGTCTGTCAGACTCAGATAAGGAATGCGTTGGCCAATGAGGTACGTTCCTGCCCTCCGTAATGTTCATGGGGCCTAGTATTGATATAGGGCTTTAGTCACGCTTTATAAACCTCGTATCGACACCTGAAATCACGCATACAATGGCAGTCGTCGAACTCGGTTTCGTTACATCCCCTGCCAGGTGCATCCCGGACCCCTTTACCTCTCCTCACCACTCCTCCGAGATCAGACTCACATGAAGGTGCTATATGCTGGCAACCTGTGGTATGATAAGTGAGACATTGTTGATGCAGCTTGCGGTTTTTCAAGTGCGTTTACGACACAAGCTTAGAGATGTCATGACTTGTGCTGATGAACTATCCAGGTGATTATTATCGGTGCCACCAAGTCAAAGACGCGATTATCACTGGCATGACCATGCGCTGAGAAGACCATTCGACAAGGAATTCGACTGTACTCAAGCATCTCTGATGCCCTGGAGGCTCGTGAACAAATATTGATGACATTAAAATCAAGAATCGGCAGTGGCTCGGAGGGCTGGACTGGAGACGGGGAAAGTGCCGAGAATTGGATATTAAGAGATTTGATTTGGAGCGTTATTTTGATGGTGGGGTTGATTTTTGGGTGCGTGATAAGTTTGTATGCACTGGTTATTTAATTCTGAGTCATCTACCAGTACTACTGCTACTACAGGCCAATATCGAAAGTCATGCGCGCACTCGGCAAGGTGTAGTGAATCAATACAGAACCTGTTGAAGTTGTTCTCGGAATGCCACGGGGTGACCATTACTATTCTCTGCTGCCAGTGAAGACTCGAAACGTGACCCGGGCTAACTCTTGGTCTAACTTACTTTCCAACGTCGGATGACCTTGAGTTTTCGATCCTGTGACAATGTCCGAGTCACTTTCCGAGGAGCGAGTCGCATGCAAAAACCCTGAAGTCTGCTGACTGAGCCTGCCCAGGGTCCCTTCAGTTAGTAAGGTGGTCCGGGGGCCTGACTCGAGCCATGAGAGTGGATTTTGCGTATGTATCACATCAGACTACCCTAGTGACTAGTCACTACTTTTACTACTACAAGTGACTCTTAGTTCGAGTCTGAGTCAGACTGGAATTCCAGCCTGCCGCTGTTACGACTCTGGCTGGCAAGTCGAATGCGCGAAAAGCTTCTTTGCGTTGTGTTCTTTTTTCTCTTCATTAATTTGATGCTATTTTGCAATGCTCCAGGCTGCCTCTGGCAGAGCGCAAACGGCAGCAACAGTCGAGGTCTAAGTAGGCATCGTGCAACATGCAAATTCCACCTCCGTTCTAGCGTCCTAGCTAGCCAGAAGAGACAAGAGAGGGCAAAGGAGGCAGCCAAAGCTCCCGGGAGTCTAAAACGATTAGCGATGACACCACTGGGCTCACTGGCAACCAGTTCACATTCACGTTCAAGTTCTGAGTCGGTAAGTATTCCTCAGACTTGGAGAGTCATCCATGAAATTCTGACAGTTTAACAATTACTGCATCTTCCTAGAAAATATTGCCTGCTTATCGTATGCCACTGGTCACCTGCTCAAAACCCATTGCTCCGTGCCCGTCGTTATGGCCAGACGCTAGCAGGCACCAAACTCTGGCTAGCAAAGTACCTATCAGTCACGGTACCGGTGCAGGGCAACACTCCAGTACTGATGATGATAGGCTCGAATTGAACGCATTAGAGGCTGACTCTGTTTTGGGTGTGTCCAGTTTGAGTCACCTACTGAGATGCTGAACCAATAACTCACGTTCTGCGTTTCCCTCATTAGAAGAACCTCCGTGCCCTCAGAGACGAATCCCAAGAGATTTTGAAGATATTCCTCTTCCTGATGGGGACATTGATAGCTCGCATAACGTCGATGCTTTGCCTATTCGAAATCCAGCCCTGCCTCAATCTAGAATCCAGAGAGTCCTATTAACATTACGTGACGCACTCCAGACCCCCTTTAATTCTCTTGGTATTTGCTGACTGTACCCCCGTCGCCCATCGTTCGAGCCAGATAAATTCATCTCATCCTCACTGCTCTCAACCACGTGTCCAACGGCCACACAAGAGGCCAACTCAGGCATCCTCCCACCTCCATACCCTTTTCACAACATGACGATCTACCGACTCATGTCTTGGATGAACTCCGGGAGTAATAAGAAATCCGAGCTCGAAGTCGCCCGTCTCGTCAAAGAAGTGCTGCTGGCGAAGGACTTTGACCCAATGCACCTGGAGAACTTTTCAGTAAGGGGAACATTACAGAAATTGGACAAAGATCACAGCAGGAACAAGGTCGAGTTTCCAGATGACTGGACTCATGCCACTGTTGCCATCAAAATTCCTACTAAATCGAAGGAGGACGATGGAAGACTTTTTTCCATTCCAGGGTTTCATTTCCGCCCCCTCGTCGATGTAATTCGGTCCGCTTTTGTTGATATTCAAGCGAGTGCGTTTCACCTTTCACCTTTTAAGCGTCTGTGGAAGGATCCGTTAGATGGTCACGAAGAGCGAATCTTCGACGAGTTGTATACATCCGACTCCTGGCTGGATGCGCAAGATGAATTGCAAAAGCTCCCAAGAGAGCCCGGATGTGCACTGGAACGGGTGATTGCTGGTCTCATGTTTTTTTCTGACGCTACGCACTTGGCAAATTTCGGAACGGCAAAGGCCTGGCCCCTTTATATGTACTTCGGAAACCTCACGAAGTATGCTCGCTCTGCGCCAAAGTCCGGCGCATGTCACCTGGTGGGATTTCTGCCTTCGGTGAGTTTTCCTACTTTTACCTTTAAGCATCAATATTGACGGTATTGCCTATCAGCTACCTGATAAAGTTAAAGATATTTTTAGGAGCTTGCCGCGCATATCCAAGAGCGGCATGGCTGCTCTTCACACCCACTGCCGGCGCGAATTATTTCATGGATGCTGGGAGATCTTACTAGACAAAGACTTTCTTCATGCATACCGCCATGGTATTGTGTTGAGGTGTGCCGACGGAGTGTTGCGCAGGATATTTCCTCGAATATTCACATACTCGGCCGATTACCCCGAAAAGTAGGTTTTGTCCATAAATGATGCTCAAATTACTTTTGACAAGTCAGAGTTTTAATTGCCACTATTAAGGACATGGGCTCATGCCCGTGCCCTCGTTGTCTCACACCGAAGAGCATGTTTACTTCTCTTGGTCTCCTTAGCGATATGAGGAGCCGGATATCCAGTCTTCGAGTCTACGTCGCGACTAATGTTATCAGGGCACGCGAATTTATTTATCAGGGGGGAAACACTGTGGACGGTAAGAAGGTCGAAGAGACGCTTGGCGGGGGCTCTTGGGCACCTATCTTAGTGAGTGCGAATTACCTGTCCCTCGTGCCGGCTCACACGAGTTACTCACAGAATAAATTTGTCGAGAGGCTTGGAGCGCTGGGCCTCGACACATTTCAGATGCTTGTCGTGGACTTGATGCACGAGTGCGAGTTGGGTACATGGAAGGCATTATTCACTCACCTCATTAGGATCCTGTATGTGCTTCCGAATGGAAATCAGCTGGTCGCAAACTTGGATTCAAGGTAAGAGTTCACAGATTGTCTCTGAGTATCTCTTAACGAGCAGCAAACTCTGTCCCATCATAGATTTCGGCAGATCCCTACTTTTGGTAATGGAGTGATTAGAATGTTTTCTAACAACACGTCCGAAATGAAGAGACTGGCGGCACGAGATTTTGAAGACATCTTGCAGGTGCCTAACGCTTTACTTGACTATTCTATACCTAGTTCACTAACAACCTTCTTTCAGTGTGCAATACCCGTGTTTGAAGGGCTGTTTCCCGCTAGCCACGACATGGTGGTGCAGTCTCTGTTGTTCAGATTCGCTCAGTGGCACGCACTTGCCAAATTAAGAATTCATTCTGAATCGACTCTTTTTTTTTTTCGGGGACACGTTCAAGAAGCTCTCGAAGCAGTTGCGAAGGTTCTGCGACTTTACCTGCGCTGTTTTCGATACTGTGGAACTGCCAAAAGAGAAGGCGGCTCGCCAACGAAGGGTCGCCCAGCGTGCTGGCCCTAATAGTATCCCTTCGGAATCTAGCGGACCAAGGGTGAAAGTATTTAATTTGAGTACCTACAAGTTCCACGCAATGGGAGATTACCTGCGAACTATCAAGCTCTTTGGAACTACAGATTCATTCACCACCCAGATCGTAAGCATTATTTCCTATTCCTCGAGGATATTTCTGTTAATCTATTGACCAGGGAGAGCTGGCCCATAGAGCTATTAAAGCATTCTATCCACTCACTAGCAAAGTCGACACTCCGGCACAGCTAGCGAAGCACGAACACAGACGCCGGGTACTACGGCGAGTTGCGGAAGCAGCAAATATCTCCTCAAACCAACAATCACCGGCTGACTCTCATGCTTCATCACTGTTCCAAGACCATCATTTCATCGCGGACAATCACAACGATCCAGTGTCTTTGTTCACATTCCTCCGGGAGCACGACGGCAACCCAGCTACCAAGGTAAAACTAGCATTCTTTTTCAGCTGGTCATCAGTTCGCTTATGACGGTTTTCAGCACTTTATCCCCAAACTTAAGGATCACCTTTTGTATAGGCTAAAGAAGTTAGATGTTACTCATTGCGACCGCACGTTCACAGATAATGAACAAAACTCCCTCATCATTCCTAACAATACAATCTACTCGATCCAGACAATGCAGATACACTATACCACCTACGATATGATGCGCGAATACGACACTATCAGCCCCAGGACCCATCCAGATGTCATGGTACTTTCGGGAGAAGCCTCACCGAGCCACTCATACTGGTATGCTCGTGTGCTGGGCATCTATCGCATCGACACGTGGATCGAAGGGGTTTGTCGAACCAAGAAACATCACCTCGAGGTTCTGTATGTTAGGTGGCTTGCGCCATTAATATCTTCAGACTATGAGTCGGGCATACAGCACGCTCGCCTTCCGAAATTGGTGTTTGTAGAGGAATCGGACCACGACGCATTCGGATTTCTCAATCCAGACCAAGTGATCCGCGGAGCTCATCTGATTCCTGCCTTCGCGTCAGGGCGTGGTGTAAGTTCACTTCGCTACGGAAAATCATTGGCGCGTCCCAAGGAGGAATTGACTGACTGGGAGGCATATTATGTTGGGATGTGAGTGTAATGTGTCTTTTCCCGGCTTAATGTCACTTATCTGTTTGAGCTAGTTTTGTCGACCAGGATATGTTCCTGCGTTATACTTCTCTAGGTGTGGGACACCCAGTAGCTTTGCGGAAGATCATCAGAAACTGTTTTGATCTCGAGTCAGCTACACTGGCGACGGAAGATATGGATGTCGATGGAAGCAGAAGTGATAGTGAGGATCACGGAGATGACGATGAACAACGGATGGATGATGGTCTCGGCAGAGAGGAGTCGGATGACTTTGAAGGTATTGAAATTGAGGGAGAAGATGATGAAGGAGAAGAGGACGGGGAGGAGGGGGAGGAAGATGAAGGAGAAGAGGGTGAGGGGGAGGAAGATGAAGAGGAGGGAGACGAGAGAGAGGACTTTGATGATGAGCTTGATGATGAGCTCTCATTTTGAGATAGGAAACATTCTTCTAACCAGCCTTTCACGATGTCGCGTCGATATAATATGTTCTTTAACTCGCGCATCACACTTGATTTCAAACTCTCCGTTGCTAGTACTAGTACTTCCTTGCCTACTCAGATACTGGACTAACTTGCCAAATTTGGTAGTGTGGGAAGAATCGGATCTTGATGAATGGCACGGCAAACTCAACCGTGAGCTCGAAAGGTCACCAATATCTTTTTGCCCTACTATGTCTTGGCTGCATCTCTTATCATCTCCCAGATTCAAATTTAAGCAAGACTTCTTGAGCTGTGATTTTGCACGCTTCACACAGCTACAATCCCACTCAGACTCGATCCCCCACCAAGCGCCCTTGGAAGGCTTGCCAGGTTCGCAGACCATTGGCAGTAGGTATTGGCCGTTCACACTAGCTTTCTGTCACTGACTCAGAACCACCTGCAGCTGACAGTTTCAGTATGGACCGATGTCAGAGTCAGCAGTTGCAGCGACAGCAGCACGCTCAGAGTTGTGATAATTGGGAGGCCCAATTCAGATCATCACTGGCACGTACCTGGTTACCATGCAACATACCTGCCACACGGTCATAGTTGTTTCCCTGGCATATAGTATCCACTGGTAGCACTCGCTAATTTCAACGATTTTTATGCCAAGTCATACTTTGGGATACCTTCAATGAGATGTCTGGACAACACTTCATAGCCTTTATCACAACCTCTGACGGGGGAGAATCTTGTCAACGGGCCTATTGAGGTAAGCCACTGAGTCTCCCCAGGCTTCAAGATCGTTCTTAATCTTGTGGTGCTTGCTTCAGGTTGAAGGGGTTACCCGTAACATTCCCTTTGGACATGCTATGCATATCTCTGAAATAGTTGCTACATTCTGGGACCTGGACTATGTTATGAGCAGTACATTAGTCCCGGTTTGAACCTCGAGTTAGTCCTCACATTTGTCGGTCTGGTATTGCTCAGGTATTGTAGCACGAGGACTCTTAAAGAGTTCATGAGCTTATGACCTCGTGGCTGAGTTGAAGATTATCTGCTTGTCAAGACCAGTGACAAGCATTCTGTCGAACGGTATGTTTTTGGAAGAACCCAGCGTAAGTCATGGCATTGATGGTTCCTATGACTTGCATGTCATTGATATTTGATCCAGTATCAGGGCTGGCATTCGTGACTGTACAACTGCTTTCGTTGCCTGCTAGAATTTGAGGTGTCCGTTTATGTATCAAGACTTTAGCAATCCCGGTAATCTGCAGCACAGTCTTATGACATCAAAGCTGTTAGTTATGGTGAGTAGTCTAAATTTTTATAAATTTTATTTGTATCTGATGGCTTCGAGTCCCCGTGGGGACGCCAGCCTAGCGCGCTGAAGAGAAGAGGAATTAGCTGCTTCCTTATCGTCTCTAACCCGCGCTTCGAATATCCTTGACGTTTTTCAAACATTCAGACACCAGAAGCTCACCACTGGCGTGCCATCCGAATATCACTTCCCCCTCCCCTTCCTCCTGACGCCCCACATGCTGGCAACAAAAGGGCAGCATCCCTGGTCCCGCAAAGCTCCCCAAACAGAAGCTCACCACTGGCATGCCATCCGAATATTACTTCCCCCTCCCCTTCCTCCTGACGCCCCACATGCTGGCAACAAAAGGGCAGCATCCCTGGTCCCGTGAAGCTCCCAAAACCATTTCTTGCCTGCGATGCTGCCGAGATGGTCAAGACGGGACAGATCGCAGCCGTACTGGGCATCGTCAAGCAACGCCTGATACCCTCCAAGCTTTGAACTTCTGCAGGGTGTCGTGCAGCATGTGCCTCCGTGAGTTTTTTTTATTCTTGCTATGGTGAAACGAGCAACCGCTGGTTAGGGCGCAGCTGAAATACTAAAGTCGTGAAGTTACTCACGAGGATGCGGACACGGAGAAAACGGTAAATATCGATATATCTCTTCACGATGGCCGCAAGGGTATTGCCGATTACGAATCTGAGTTTGCCACGGTCATCTATCACAACCTACCAGACCAACAAATATACTTAATCAAACGATGGACGTCGACATGCATTCAGAAAATGTTCCTATGGATATCGTTCAAGCTGGGCATGATCCGAGCGCGGTGAGTCCATTTACAAATTTTGCCATGCTTCTCATTAGTTCAAAACTGCAGGGAGACATGCTTAAAGTCGAAGACGGACATCCGATGGACATCGACGAAGTCCGGGGAGGCGATGATGTGAGTCTCGTTGGTTTATCGTGTACGCACTTTCAATTCGTTTGATTTTTGTCATTGCAGGGAGATGTATACATGCATGACGTTGAAGATGGACATTCGATGGACATTGACGAAGTCTGGGGAGGCGATGATACGGTGAGTCTCGTTAGTCGTGTACGCACTTTCAATTCGTCTGATTTTTGTCATTGCAGGAAGACATATATATGCCAGATGATTTTACGGATGTCGATGACGGAGAACAAATGGTATGTTCGTACATCTTGTTGTCCGTTTGCTTGTTCTAATTTTCACCCTAGGAAGGTATAGAAATTGGAGACGCGGACGAAGAAACTCTCATGGACATTGATCACGCATAGTTCTCTTAATCATTATGTTGCAAAACGATGTCATTTTGCCGAATACCGAATACACATAAGTCTCTTGCTCATTAGGTACCGTCCCGCTGCGTGTTGAATGCACTCCCACCCCCACGCTACCTAAATCGTCCCCGAAAATATCATCCCGCTCCCTTCCAGATCGACATACTGCACGAATCTGCAAGTTGACCTGTTTTGAAGATCATACACTTGTCAAGCAGTCAAAGCCCTTGACCGATCGCAGTAAGGCTTTTCATCTGCTTTTGTTCGTTCGTGTTTCGTTGACATCAACTGATTGAGCAGTCTGGTAAAACATCCAACACAAGATGGTTGAATTCATGGGCCAAATGCGCGAAGCACTTCCTGTAAGTCTGAGCTCGACGAAGCTCGCACTTATCAAGTCATCGCCACATCACAGGCAGCCCCAGTGGACCGACCCTCACTCTATGCAAGATCTCACACCATCATTAGCAGAAAATGGGACACCTCAACCAGAGGGAGAAGAAGCTGTTTCCGAGAATCTTTATATTCAAAACCTCAACGAGAAGGTGAAAAAAAATTGACGGTGAGCATCGAAACATACCACAACTTGGCTGTGACTGATTTCTCTTCTTTCCATAGTGCTCAAGGCTTCACTAAAAGGCTTGTTCAAATCATATGGGGAAGTGCTGGATGTTGAGTCGAAAGAACGCGAAATTCACAAATACCGCAAGCTGGAGTCACAACATCTACGATTACGTCGGACAAAGATTCGTCTCACGGACTTTCGCACAATCAAAGTCATTGGGAAGGGTGCGTTTGGTGAGGTATGCCAGGCTGTTTACTGAAGTTCTCCCTGAGCTCACCACTTGATTAACATGTAGGTAAGATTGGTTCAGAAAGTAGACACTGGGAAAGTCTATGCCATGAAGACCCTCCAAAAGGCCGAGATGTTGAAGCGAGATCAGGTCTGTATGCACAAGCCATACTTCTTGCTTTGTGCTGATGAAATGGTCCTATAGCTTGCTCATATTCGCGCGGAGCGTGACTTGCTGGCTGAATCAACATCACCCTGGGTCGTTCAACTCTTTTATTCCTTCCAGGATCCACTATACTTATATCTCATCATGGAGTTTCTTCCTGGAGGTGACTTAATGACCATGCTCACAAAATACGATGTTTTCTCTGAAGATGTGACACGGTTCTACATGGCGGAGTGCATTCTTGCTATTGAGGCTGTTCATGACCTCGGCTACATTCATCGGTGCGTAATAACCTGCCATGTTCACGATAAGCATATGAATTTTCGTTCTAGGGACGACATCAATTCCGTCTATCAGTTAGATCTCCTTCACCGGCTGCATCATCAGCATCTCCCAGTCCATCACGCCTGTCAATGTTTCAATGCTCCTCCCGTGCCACTTCCAACTCAAAGGCGAGCGATCCTTATGACCACAGTCGCTCTTCCAGCCTTCACACGTCACACCTTGTAACCGAAGCTCGATCGGAGGGGGCGTACCCTGGATTTCCCCTTCCGCCACCGATGAGCCAATCGTTTCCGCCGGCTAGTGGCGCGGATGCTCGTGGAACACCTTCAGCAACACCTGCTCCGATTGGTCACCCAGGCATGTATGCTGTACGTTTCATAAATCTCAACATCTCAACCTCTCATGCTGCAACGCTGACGTGTTGTTCAAGCCATTCATCCCATATCCGTATCCTGCGAGAACACCCGTGCAAGAACAAGGCCAGGGATAGACCCCTGAACCTACGGGGTACGTATTATCTTGTTCGGACGTCTAGCCTTTCTGTATTTGAGTGCTAACATTACATCTACTTACTTCTACGTGTAGGTGCCATTGTCGCGAGCCCGACATTCAGCTTGCCCGAATACATTAGTGGGACTAGAAATTGTCACCCTTGTCCTTCTTCACGTACTTCGACTTCCTCACCAACATACGATATATAGGGACTACTAGTAGTATGCATACATTCATAATTCGCTGATTTTTGTCGTACCACTCATGCAGGGTCTCCTGGATTCGTGACTCCTCGTTCATGGCTGTTCACGCTATATGCTCTGATTAGACGCGGGTTCACTACAATCCAAAATCTTTAGAAGTTTAATATAAATGAGTTCTCCCATAATGTGTGAAGGTCGGCTGCCACACCTTCATTGAGAACTGTTCTGAATTTGTTGATCAGTGTGAAAGACACTTTGGTGTCGAAACCCTTACATTGGGCTCCAGTGCGGTAGCAATATTACGCAAATTACATAGCTATCCCTTGTCAGGTAATGCGAAATGCAGATGATGGAAAACGCAGATGCCTAACAAACTAGACACAATTACCCACCATTCACTTTTAGGTTGTGATTGTACAATGTCACAATATTGCCGCAGACTCTGATGTTAATATACGTTTGATGTCCACGGCTAGTGCTACTTTCCATCATAAAGTCATAAATAGGTTTATTATCAAAAAATTAAATTACAGCGGATGAGCATGATTGACAACTTGGACACAATTATGCTATCATCCCTTGCTGGCGGTGAGGTCGCAATGCCGCAATGTTGCCACCAATTCCTCATTGCAGTGTAGATTTACATTCATCCATACATTTGTATTAGCAAGTCAAATTTATTGGCGCATAAATAGCTATATTTGGCAGAAACAGAATTATATATTTCTACAGTCATCATGGCTACAATATCGTGAACTCATGAATTCACTGATGCGTGCCTGTTGCCAGTGGATCTTCTAAGCTTATCTCACAATGTGCAGAACCATACTCACTGCCTCAAATCTATCCGTCCGGAATGACAGCCATTTCTATATCCAGCTGCGATTCGTGCACGCATCAATCATGAGATCATCGTGCCAAACAGCCTGAAAACAGCAACAGGCTTATCAGTAAATACATTCATCGCTGAGAAAAATCACAACTTCATTATAATGTCAACAAAGGGTGAGTCGATCGAGGGTACTGGGAGTAATCAGTATTGAATTATGAGTATGGCCATAGGCATTGAATGTTGAATATTAATGTTGACATATATTAAGTTGGCAGATTAGCACTGATGGCATGATGTCGCAGATGTAGTACACAAATAGGCCATGGCCATAAGTCAACTTTAAAGCAGCCATCCGGGATTGACGAAACTTGGACAGGCATACTAGGATCCATAGCATGACTGGAAGGCATGAGTGGGCTTGACCGGCTCGGCTCCTATCTAAGCGCTCACCTAGCAGTTGAAGATGTCGATGAGGCGCGAGTCGAGTACACAATAACTTTGATGAACATTCTAGTTCACAAAAACATAACAGGGTATACAAAAACGAGAAAGCTAGAGCGCAAGAATACATCAGGGTTATTTATGCAGCAGGATAAAAGAGGATCGCAGATCATTAACTCGTGAATATGCACCAGACGACAGCAATACGGCATATGATACATAAAACTACACACCAATATGAATGAAACCCATTTTTTGCTCGAGTGACACTTTCGTCTTCACCACATGTGTAGCACAGTTGAGTGCCCAGGCCGCCCTCGTACAGTCCATGACACCAACATCCTCCAAGTCTCTAAACATATACGTGTAGAAAGCTTCGACGACGTGTTTTGCAACAGCATCGTCCACCTCCCACAGCGTGCCAATGACGCTCTTAAATCCTGAAAACTGGAGACCAGCTGCGAGATGGATCACTTCGTCGGGCGTTTTCTCATCACCGATGGCGGTATGACACGCTGATAAGAACGCGAACTCGGCGCGCGGAATCTCTCTCTATGAAATCGAGTAGTGTCAAATGTCCATCTCTCATGACGAAATGCGAATTATAAGGCTGCGTAGGATCCTGCTTGCCATGACAAACTAGGTGCACCCAGGTATTTTGCTGCAAAGCTTCGAGTGCACCTGCTCGTATGGCTGTGTCGCCAGAAATAATGGTGCGGTTGGCAGTCGCCGGGACGAGCTTATGGACAAGCTCGAGCTCGCTGTCGACAGCCAAAAGCGCCTTGCCTGTTCCTGCACCCGGTTGACCCTGTCCGATTACTACGAAGGATGGAGGCACACGCTTCTTCATCGACTGTCTAGATCTGACTAGAGCAGAAAGTGTCGGGGTGTAAGAACAGATGTAGAGATCCTCCAGGCATTACTCCTTCACAGAACGGTCTGCCTTTGTTTGAAAGGGATGAGCGGCATGGAGAGGAATGGAGGTAAAAGCTGCAGTAGGACACAGCCAGATTCGAGAACGGCGCTTTAGTTTGAGGACGTGCTCGAGTACGTTGACGATAGGCAGCATGATCTCGTGCCATATTATCCACGAGAGCACTATTAAATCTGTCCTCGACTCCATTGGGGTCATCCGAGATACTTTTTGTATTGCCCTGGCGAAACGGTGGACTGGGGGTCCCAAGGGCAAGAGTCGCGCACCAAGGCCCCAGTCGGCCCTTTCCATAGCTTAGTCAGCATGTAGACTAGGTCTCGAGCATGTCGTCGCGTAGCTTCACCTCATTCCAGCTTGGTTTCCCTGTCTTTGGGCTGCGAGCCCCTCGGCCTGCTCCATCGGTCCTTGAGATCGGCCAGATCTGCAAAAGTAACAGACGGCAAGGGAACATGATGGGGGGTCTCCTGACGTCGGGACGATGATGGCGCTGCACGAGTATTTACTAGCATTGAGGATGATGGCCGGGCCCTGGCGCGCTGCCGCTTGCAGGTCTTCGTACAAAGGTGGGCACCCTTTGCAGAGAGGGAGTAGCTCATGACATAGTTGGGCGGCTTCGCAGATGTCAGCAATAGTACCTTCTTATTGTGGCGCAAACTCAGCGCTAGGGCAAGATTATGTAGAGATGAGGGATGATCGGAATGGCGCTGTGGGCGCAATGCAAGGGCGTTGCGGAGGAGGGAAGTGGTAGTATCGATGTCATGAAGATCATTTTGTATGTAGCCATCAAGACGGGGCAGACGCGAGGTTGGTGAGAGCTGCCGCGTAATCTGGATGGCCGACCGGACACTGGTCCGGAACCAACCGAAAATGCTCTACAGCATCATTCAGGTGAGACATATTCTCGCTTGTTATGTATGCGGCAAATTGTGCGTGGCCCGCATCTGTGTCTCGAGCAATGCCGTAGCCTACAGTTAGTGTTGTGTTGGCAAAAACTAACAGGTCAGATTCTGGGGTCACTCACGTTGAACAGTACGTCATTTCTGTTGTTGCAAGTATGTACTAAAGCAACTTTCAGTGTGAGGGAGGGGTGGAAACCGCGCACGGGGGGAAGTATAGATCTAGGAAGTGTTAATATATGTGCACGAATGAGGAGCGAGTCGCTCACCGAATGGCTCATCTCCGTGATAGACCAGCTCATCCCACGACATTTCAAGTTTCTCAATGATCTCTCCGCTGCCTAACATTCGACGAAGCTCAAAGGACGCCCTGGTCTCCATTTATGATGCAGGTAAGGCATGCGGTGATCTATAAACCGATGATCAGTTCAGCATCGCGTTGGAAAGTCTCCATGAACTAGAGTTACAGGATTCCCCCGGGCTCACGCCACAGATTCATCAGATGATAAGACACTGATGGCCAATTTCTAGCGTCTCCGGGAGTCGAGATTGATGGACACGTAAATACCAGCGGGAACGCGCCAGGAGGGAAGCTGAAGATTTTTTCCGTTGAGAACTGTAGGCAGAGTGTGAGAATCATGAAACAGATACGAAGGTAATATGGAGGACTCGCCTTCAAGTCTGATATATTGGCTTTCCGAGCTGCCGGGCATGGTGGTGCGATACAACAAATGATAAGGATCGGGGATGAGCTGAGTGGTGGGCTGGGTGGTGGGCGGAATGAGTGGGAGAGGAATGAGTGGGAGAGGAAGACGGGGGTAAGGATATGGAGAGTGCGGATGGAGTTCGGCTGAGAGGGAGAGTTCAGGTTATGTTGTACGTGTATTTTTCATATTGTCGAGAGTTATTGTTGTTCGGCAAGATAGATGCTGGTATGATTCTAATGGCAAGGGCTGTTGTAACGGTTGGGCCGTCCAAACGGCCCACGTCCAATTTACTTTGTTTCTCTTTCATTTGGTTCTGTCAGTCTCCTAACTACGCTTATTCATTTATACAGTTGCTCGTAGACGCTTCGGCCGAGTCTATAGCCCACAGTAGCATTTACTCTTCCGAAGCTACCCGACATCGGACGTATCGTTAGCATAAATACTGCCTATAGTCGTAGAGTTACACTAGTGTCGTTTGAACCCTCAGAATTCAGACTTTGATCCTGTCACTTAGTTTGAACGCACTCTTCTCTATTGTGCCGTTGTCTTCGAGCCTAATACGCTAAACCGTCAACGTCACAGCTGTGAATCAAGATCATCAGCCAGGATTAGCACAAGAAACTGCCAGTGTGCTAAAGAAGCAGACAATGTGATGATCAGTTTTCAGCACAAGTGGGTCGCCAACGCGCCAAGATTGGAGGGGATATACTACGAGTCTCAGAGTGATTGTTGCTCCTGGAGACTGGAGTACTGCTCAGTTAGCACAAAGGCAAAATATAGAAGCGCGTATATTGCGTAAGTTAATGGCAAATATAAACCATGTTAAAACTGTTCAATTTGGTGTGCGAACTGATTCTATAGGTTGAGCTGACAGTGCCATGGGGGAAGGATGATCTTCCCTGCATTGAGGAATAAGAATCAATCAGTAACTTCGAAAGCGAGGACGCAATAAAACTGTATGCTCCTTTGGTGAAGGCGAACGAAGTATTGAAGAAAATGAGGAATAATATCATGTATGTTGATAAAGTAACTAGCAAATTCAAGTCCACAACCGCGATCAATGTAGTAATGAATAAAAGACATCATGTAGTTTGTAAGACCTGCTAGAAGATGGTGAATGTTGCACAATCTACGAATGGCAGCATCTCTAATCACTGGAGAACACTGGGATCACTGCGTCAATGAATATTTGCATACAGAAAAGTTCCAACTTGCCGATCATCGAAGTCCTTGGTTGTCAACTGTCGAGCAACCAATAGCTTCCCGATGTGCGTAGGTAAGTACCCCATTCCCTTGCGGCGGATACCGAAAAGAGCCTTCAACATGGGGATGGGCGACTGTTGGAAGTTGTTGGGAAGATTCGCAGCAGGAGGCCGATGCTCCGGTTTGATGAATCTATCACTTTGAATCTCAAAGGTGCCCTGGTCATTGAGATCTGCAGTATAAATCCCCAAGAAGCGACACAGCTTGACGTATGCGCGGTGATGAGGAAAGTATAATTGCCCAGAAAAGACATTGAGCTGCTGGATGAGGGTATCACGTGGCTTCCATCGCGCGGGGAGTGATGGTGTAACATAGAGGCGCAAGTCATCGCATGACTTCATCATCTTGATGACGCGAGGTGTATAAGCGTGCAAGTGAACTTGCTTACTTGCCCTAATTTCAGATAGAAAAACGTTGACCTCGAAGGGGCTGACAATGACTAGCACTGGCGCGTCTGATACTGTATTACTCGAAAGAATCCAATTGACTGGGCGGATGTAGCTGTCCGTTTTGTCTGCGGCCTGGACTGTTGTGGCGAAATCACTTGAGGCAAATACGTCTCGCGACCATGGCTGACACCCCGAGAACGCAGCCGAAGTTGTGGTGAGGGTGTCGAAAACGGCAGTGAATGCGCGAGATCCATTCGGAATACAGCCTGTTCGGATGAAGTACAGGACGTCCTCGTTGATTTGATGGGTAGCAGCCGGCACTTTTGGGGGTCTCACCACCTCGCGCTCGCGCTCAATCTCTTGTATCACCTCTCTCTCTTGCTCTTCGTCCGTACGGTTGTCAGGCGAAATGCTCAACCCCAGGCCGCTGCATATCTCCAGAAGCTCTTCGTCTAGCGATGTCTGCGAAGTAATGGTGCCCGTCAGAGCTGGAGCATATAACTTTTCCAAGTGCTTGGCTTCTGGCTGTAGCCAGGAATGGGTGAATTCGGTGGGCGTGATATCGTCAGATAAGAACGACGACCATGCATTGTGGCGAGACTTGAAATCCACTCCATGCTGAAACCATTGTGAAGCACGGTGTTCAATATCCACGCATGTTTCAGTCATCGCCCACACGAGGATATCCGACACATGAATGCGTCCATCACGATTGTTGTTCACAGCTCGAATGCTGCGATCTATTTCTGGAGGTGCGAAGAACATGACTGAGTGGCCGTGGCCGAGCTTTCTCATACGCATGCAACCTAGCAATATGTTACTAAACGTCATCAATGAACATATACATTGCGTCCTCACCTTGGACAAGGCGATCCTTGGTGACCTTTGGGCCCAACGTGACAGCTGAGCGGAACCCACGGGGCAACTTCACATCTGTTCCTCGGGTGTGTTCATCGTCCAAATACAATACACATTGGTCCAGTTTCTGAGCAAAGGAAGATGCGGAGAATGATTCTATGACGTGATCCCGAGTGCGCACCACGAGCTCATCGTGCTTGTTGAAATAAATTGCCGCTTGAGCATTTTTATTGATGTTCAACCACATCGTCGCCACCTCATCATTCTCCAAATCAAGCACTTGTGCGCCCACGTCGAGCAAGACGCGGATCTCCGGCGACTCCTTCGCGATGGCATTAAGAAGTTCTTCAGCGCCTCTGCCAGCTGCGAGCGAGTCAAAAAAATCATTCTCTTCCTGCAAAAGGTAACTGAGAACTCTGGCATTCGTACCGCGCTGGTGAGCTAGGTCATGCTGCATTATGTTGGTGGGTAGCAAGTAACGAAAAGCATTCGTTCCACTGAAACCAGTGGTAGGTAACCCAGATGATTTTCGCTCTGCGAGATCCCAGGCGGAACAAGATAACTTTTTTGGAAACTCTTTCGCTTCTTGTGGAAAGGTGATCTGAGCCAAGAAGAAGTCTATGACAGCTTTGTTGCGCCCGAAGAGAGGTACCAAACAGGTAGTGAATTGTTCAGTAGACTCCATGTTGATTCCACTGAGGTGTTGCAGATTCTCTGGAAGCGAGTCTAAAGACAACCCCTCGATCCATGTCTCATATTCCAATACGGGATTGTCTTGCTTGAGTAGCTGCCGGAAACAGAGGGTCACCTGTTCCTCAGTGAGGCCTCCGTGGTAGTACGAAAGACATGTGAGTGCGACTGCGATGTCTGGATGTCCAAATTCTGCCCTAGATGAAGGAACATCCTTGGCTCGATATGGCACAGCAAGCTTCGTACGTTGAGGATCTAGACCGTAATCTACACGCCATCGCCGCTCCTTCATTGTGTATATCAGAACACCGTGTGCAAGGAGTCCTCGAATGAGCAGTAATCCATTCCACATACTGGACCCAGCATAATAGCTACGGACTTCGTCAAGGAGCTGCGGTTCAATCGTGAACTGGGTAAGATACTCGTGGATGGAGTCTTGGATATGAGATGGCACATGTTCGAATGCAAAATTTGGGAGGTACCCAGCAAGGATATCGTCAGAGATTAGTTTGACCAATCTTTTGCCTGCGTCGACATCCAGGATTCTGAAATGTGGGAAGGTTCCGATAGCGCCTGGTTGGAACTCTACTCCAAGAGGAAATTCTTGCTGCAGGAGGCAAGCATGTTTTGCCACAAGGGTCATCACCTGCTGTGTTGTGGTCCATCGATCAGGATAACCTTCTAAGTGCTGTTGATCGCCCATAGTGTACACAAGTTGAAAGCGAACATGCAGCAGTTCATCGCTCTCATCCAATATGTCGCGAGTGTACTTATCAAGCCATCGCTGGGTATCCAATAGAGGCATAACCAGTGGTTGTCTGATTGCGTTCGCACGGGAAAGCTGTTGCTCCACAGCCATCATCTTGAAAGAGAGGATGTGGTCTGGTAGAGCGACAAGGATACCACGAACGCATTTGCACTCTTCAAATAAGGGCTGGATTTGACTGGAAGTAATGCGCAAGGAGCGTGAGAAAGGAAGGTGGAAAATTCGCCTATTGGTAAGCCCGCTGAGCCGTTCCACGAGTAGCTGAAACATTTGCACAGCCAAAGGCTTTAGCACGACCACCCGTACCACATTTTTGCCATCGGCTAGTGCAGCGCAACAGATAGGTACGATCACGGAAGACTTTCCCTCCCCCATATGAAGCTGCAGGGCAGTATTCTTGTCAGAATGTGGGGAAATCATCTCCATTGCAACCATGGCTTGCGTGGGACGGATAAGAAATCGGTTCTCTGCCTAGTAAGTACCGTTAGTGATCAATAAATTCATTGGTGAATGGTTATCGAATACCTGAATTAGAAGCCAGTCTACATATTCCTGTGTACCATCCAATTCTAGGTGGCCGTCGTTCACCAGCTCCTTCAGGAACTCCTCGTTGTCCCCATCGGCTGCCAATTTCAGCTTCAGAAGTCGTTGTGATCTTTGTAAGCGAAGAAGGATATGTGCGAAATTGGTCAAAGAGGCTTTCCAAGAGTTGCAAAGAGGCGTTTTTGACGTAGAAGCGAGAAGACCGAGTAGGAATGTGACTGTAATGCGAGGCCATCGTCCAGAATTGGATAAACTCTCCTCCGCCAAACCTGAAGGAGCTAGATGCTCTTCCAATCTGCGAAAAGCGTTCATATAAAGCTTGTTACACCACTCATGATGGTGTCGCAGCATCTCGACCGTCCAGCAAGTTGAGCGGGGTGCGATGGGTAACCGTTCATTCTCTAGATGATTCCTACTGTCTTCTAGGCATGCGGCATACTGGAGACCGAATTGGTCTGATTGACGTCGCGATGCCTTGAAGTTCGAGATGACATCCTTCAGTGGAGACGAATCAAGCCCATCACCAGAGAATCTGCTACTCAGTAACACTTGAATCTGCTTGAGTGGGTCAGGAAATAATGTGATGACGGGTGGAGGCTTTTTGAACAAGTCTTTGGCGAGGACGGCAGTCTTGACTGATATAACATCTGAATTGCTCGGTATGAATGTGTAAGGTTGCTCGATGGATGGCGTGAAAATCACTTCATCATCAAGCACCTCCTGTACACGATCCAGATATGTCTTCAGGCACCGGTTGCGATAGCAGTTCATGTATTGTCCTTCAAGGACAGTACTAAGGGTGGACTCGTCGTATCGGGAGCTGCTCAGACACTTCAGAGCACGTGCAGGGACGGAAGGACAAGGCCAAGATTCAAGAAGGATAGCAACTGCCTCTTTCTGTTCGCCTAGACACTTAGATTGAAAGTGCGTTTGTCGTCGACTATCAAATTCCTGGGAAGACTCGTTATGGTTCCTAGACAAGGACGCCTCGGGACTATTGGAGAAAGAAGTGCAGGAAGATATGTGACGGCATAAATTCTGTTCAAGGGGTTCAATCCCAAATGAAAGGTTGTATATGTCGTAGTCGGGAGCAGGAAGTTCACGGAGCTTGGGATTGGCTGCAAATGCGAACATGGTCACGGCAAGTCCCATATTCTCTGGGGAGGAGTAGGTCGTGGCTGATAATGTGAAGGCGAGTTGGAATGTGTGAGTCTCCCGATCTGTGTAGCGGCAAAGTTCTACAATGGTCATCCATCTCTTAGCCAAGTCAGGCTTCAACCATTCTCGGCCATATCGAAGGGTTACGTCAAGTGTTTTGCCAGAAACTTCATTCCACCGAATGAAGACATCGTAAAGCGTCTGACAAGGCTCAAGCGTGATACTCCAGTCGCGCACCATACATGCGCAATTAAATGCCGTTTGGTCGCCTATTGAGCGGCGGACATCCCTGGAAGTATAATCACTGGTCGACGATTCGCTGGGATAAAAGGAATTGACTAGATCACAGGAGTAAAGGACAATGGACAGTCGAGAGGCACGTTCTAGAAGGGACTCGTTTGGTTCTGGAAAGTCTAGACAGACTGGGACCGGTGTTTCGCTAAGCACCTGCAGCTTTCGTGCATATTGGACTATATTCCTGGCAGCATGGTAGAATGCGCAACCTTGGACATAAGATGACAAGCTATGGTGCCAGTGGACCTTCTGCGAGTTCTTGTGAGCGGTATACCATGTCCGCTCGACAGTTAAGGAGCCTATCCAAACCAGAAGCTTGCAATCAAATGGGTCCAGCTTCATGAAGGAATAGCACGCGGCAGATTGCAGCAAATACATCGCTTCTTCTACACCGGTACGTTTAGTTAACGGATCTGGAACATGGGCGCTGCACACGGCGTGTAAGTATGCTTTGTACAGTTTGTTCGTGAGACCGATGTTTCCTGTCAGGCGGCAGAGTTCCATGTCGATGGTGTAACAGTGATAATGATGGCGGTCATGATTAGGATTGGGCTGTATGGTGACCTGCACATGGTGACCTTCGTGCTTTACTACAACATCGCCTTGTGGGATGATAACACGGCGATCGCTGAACGTGTGTTGATCTTTGGGGCGTAGAACGAGCTTGTTGACGAGTCCAATCATTGTGTTAATGGACTGGTCTTCATCGACAACCATGCCTCTCTGGTCGTGCGAATGTAACTCCCCATCCCTATCTATAAAGAAAGACAGTCCAAGCCGAGGGAGATCGACCTTGACTACAGTCTGGCCTGCATCCACGTTGGCAGTGACAATCAGGTATCCAAAGTTTTCTATGGGACTCAGCGTCTTTGCTATCATGCAGAACGTGGGGCTGTGGATATCAAATAGAGTTGAATGGCCTAGCCGTGCAACTGACTGTCCGCCTTCCGTGTATCGCAACACCCAGTTCTTGTCGGACGACTCCCACATTGCCTTCACTGGACGAAATTCAATTGCACGGGTTTTCAAGTCGAGCCAATGCACGTGATTTTTGACCAGTAATCCTGGGATGTCTGGCCGAAGTTTTCGTCCAGGTATCAGCTCAAGGAGGTGCCCATTCTCACGTTGCGACCAAATGACAACGTCTCCGTTGCGCATCCCGAAAGATATCTGCAAAATAATGGTTAAGTTTTGGATATCGTGCTCGACTGTACCAACTTACTTGAAAGCCATTTATGTTGGTCTTGGTAGCATATTCTGCGCCACGAATCTTGGAGGGTAAAACATCAAGCACTTGCTATTCGGGGTTATCAGATATCTAGCTAACTAGCATGCCGGAAAACTCACATGTTGGAAGAGTAAGATGTAGCAAGGATGCTGCAGAATATGATCCGGCAGCCTGGCTAGCGGCTTGCCATCGACAAATAGACAAGCTGTCAACATATCGAGGTGTATGATTTGACAGGATGGATCATCAGAAGGCGCCGTTTTACATGTAAGCCACCCAGAGTTTGGAGATTCAAGCACTGTCCAGCGCGTGTGTCGTTGGTATGTAGACCAAAGATGTTTCATAGCTCGATCAAGACCTTCTTGGTCGTCTTCCACATGACATCGGAAATAGGTCTCTAGAAAGTGTGACAATCGATGGTTGCGATCACGAAGCAATCTTGAAATCGGCGGGAGAGCGTCTAGATCTGGAGGCGTGTTATCCTTCACTGTAACAGAGCAGTATACCAAGATCTCCAAGTCCTGTGGCGATTCAAGAAGTGCTGTGATGTTGTCTGGGTCGACATCATAGGTGCTGCGACAAATGATTGCCATGTCACGAACACGGGCTTGGCGTTCACAACTAGACTTTTCATCCGGAGCTTCTTGAAGAGCTTTGGATAACTCTTGCACCCATTTGAAAGTTGTATTCCGGACAGCTCGTAGCAACTCGTATGATCGCTGGATGACACTGAAATCTACTGCTGATGAGAGAAGGCGGGATACCAGGGCAGAGATTGTTGCCATCGTTGCACCCTCCAGCCAGTTGGTCTCTACGCTTACTTTCAAGCTCTGGAGCTCATTGATTAGGGTGTGCCCAAAGTCTGAGACTTTCAGTTCATCGTGCCATACCCTAGACCCATTGGCTGAAAGCTCTCCCACCTCCAAACTAGCCTGGAGCAGTAGCAAATGGACCGCCGGATCGCGAAACGTGAGCGTGCGTGCTCGTAATTCATGAATAATGTTGATCCATTGCAGAAGGCTGCCGCTACGGAGACTCCCGAAAGCAATGAATTCGTGAAGCGTCAGCTCGGCATGACACGCAGCCTGATTGGCCAAGACCTCGTTGGAAGTGTGTTGGGTACCCGACAGATAACATTGCAGTCCGTGATAAGGACCTTTCGGTAGTGTATACGTGCAAAGATCAGATACGGTATACGTTTGATGGAATTTGGAAGCCCAAACACATTCGGTTGTGTCGTATAGGCGGAAATACAGATTATTTTTGACGATGACATCGCTTTCAGTACATGGAAAGGACTTGCGAGTGGCCAGGGAAGACTTTGTCTCCGAGCCCAATGTGATGCGTTGGCCAGGGTGTTCGACATGATGGCATGCAAATGGTTTATACTTCATAAGCAACATGTGCTGCGTTGCAACTTGAGTCGATTTTGTAGTGCACTGGCATATGTCGTGAAGAAAGTGGAATGTGAGAGATCGCCACATCTTGAAAGCGATCGGGGCATCGAGTTCGAATAAAACTACTGCTGCATCATTGTCGCGTTCAGGAAGTGGCCATTCATGAACTTCAATAGAGAGGTTAGCTCTCTCCGCCAACTTCCTGCACCGACAGCAATTATTGTCATGTCGTGGTCGACCTCGCCAATCCATGTAAGTGTCGCATTTGAGAGCGTCGAGTTCATTCGTCAAATGCAAGTACTTTTTGCTTTTGTCGCGAAAATCTGCAATGCACTTTTTCCGCTCCGCATCTGCTTCATCTTCAATGCGCTGTTTGCGTGACTGAAGCTTCTCAGATTGAGAATAGTAGCGAACTGCGAATGCATCTACATCCGCGCCATCCGAGAAGATAGAGAAGTCCGGGCGCGCATGGTGGGTGCGAGCGGCAACATACTGTTGAAGAAGTCCGAGCCTCTCTATGGCGGCAGCTTGTTTAAGGAGAAGGTTATCGAAAATGACAGCTGGGATCTCTGGAGAATACTCCTTGAGAAGAGGGATTGACTTCACAGCCAGCTTGTCAAGCGCGACCCAGAGATCGAACAGCGTGAGCAGCATGATGGACATGTTTTCAGGATTTTTGGAATAACGTTTTTGCGCACTGGCGGAATAAATTGCAGCGCGCGCTTGGATGATCATACAAGCAGCATCAATGCCAGTAGCATCGAGGCTCATGGCACGATCCACCCAGCTGCCAATGTCTTGCTCGATGGCGCATTCGAAATCAAAGAGCGCTAAAAGGGTTTCCTTGGCACAAACACTCTCGAAGAACTTGGCGTCAGGACCAAGGAAGTCATGTATAGTACCCCGTTGGCGATGATCAGGTTTAAAGTCTGACACGGTGGCTTGGGCATAGGTAGCATTTAAGGCAGCGGTGATGTACTTCTCGCTCTTGGTCAACGAGAGCCTGGTGTCTCTGGTTATATCTGACTCCGAAGAGGCATCCCAATGAGAAGAATCTGCCTGAACCGCCTGAACGTTCTTCCAGCGCAGCTCCAGTCGATACTTGATATCTTCAGTAGCTTTGTGCATCGCGATTGCTAAGCATCCGTCTTCAGCCTGAAGCTTGACCAAGCGTCGACTAATTTTAGTGGACATGAAGTAGAGTAAATCGCTCGGCATGTCGCCCTCAAGCGCTTTGGACACAAGGTCCGTCATGAGCGAAGCCATGAAAGCCTTGTAACCGTTTCGTCCAAGGCTGGTGCTCTCGAGGGATGTCTGCAATACAACCCTTATGACAAGCCAGAGGGATGATCTTCGCCAAGGGAGTGTGATGTTGGACTGTGGCGCACTATCACCTGTAGCACCATTGTCCATGACATCATCGCCTATACGTTTTCGAATACGGAGTGTATCAACGGGCTCGCCGAATGCGCGAAGAATGTTGGTGAGAAGCTGGGTGATATAGCGAGGATGTGCGGTCTCTCCTTCGTCTTCGGAGGTAGAATCTAACGCATCATAGCTCATGTGGGAGAGAAAGTTCGCCAACTCAGGAGGAAAGGTGGGGTTATTGACGACTGAGTTTGATACAGCGATTGCAGGCCCTGGATATGAACACAAGAGCTTCCCCTCTACCGCCATGACAGCAGACGCCCGCGGAGAAACTTCAAAGGATTCAAATATGGTTTTTTCGTCGAGCCTACGAAGTACGACAGCAGCATTTTGTTCCCGAATCAAATACGCGAGAATATCTAAAGAGAAAAATCTTGAGATTGATATAAATTGCCGGCGCTAAAATCGTGTGCATACCTCCCGCTTGCATGGATTTGATTTGCGACTTGACCACATCCTCGGTCAAGGCAGGATAATTCATTGTAACAGCAAGGTTCTCGAGCATCCTCAACAAAGACCTCCACTGCTCATGCTCGTCATCGGGTAAAGATGCTGCAAATTTGCGAGCTGAGCCGAGCACGACATCAACAAGGGAGCGATCTTTGTCAGGAGTATGATCGTTGTGCTGCGGCAATTTGATGGGACAAAATATGTGAACGATGATATATTCCAAGACATCAGTCTTGGAGGATTCTGAGGCGACAGACATATCAAGCTTGAGTCGCCTTGATTAGTGATATCTGGTGAAAGTTTGTTAAGCGCTCGGAGGTTGATCGTTGAATTGTCTGTAGATGTGGGTTGTAAGGAGGAGGTTATAAGAAGCACAAGGGAACCCAAACAGAATGCCTCATGGCTTGGGATGCCCTCGTGCATTGATCTGCGCTAAGCTTCTTTGGCCGATGTGCATGGAATATCTAGGCATATACCGTAAGTCGATACCGGAAAATCAAATTTGGCTGTAAGATACCTTCTGATGCAGATGGACGATAACAAGTCTTATTATAGTGCGCCAGCCCGGGACATTATGACATGATCAACCAAGGCGTATCGAGAGGATATGAAGTTGTCCCGTTCAGAAGAACTCTCAGTGGAGAGAGACTGTTTTGGAGGGCTTTCAAGAAAAGAAGCTTTGCACATCTGACTTGTACTATTTGGCCAGACTCTTGGAGAAGATCAATTCGACTAGCCTCACAGTCTAATTAAGTTCAGGATCATGTGACAGCCGTCGCGTATCAAACGGCCCCATCATCCGGATTCCGCATGCCGCGCCATTATTTTTAACCACCACCATTCACTGCGGACTCGCGTATGCAAATAATTGTCTGAGATGAATATCCGTATTATCAACGGAAGATATACGGAGTCTGCTCGCCACAAACATTCGTACTTCTGGGATTCGCAGCAGCTCAGACCATCAGATTTTGACAAATTTCGTCCTGCAATCAACTTGAACACCATAATCACCCTTTTGAAACCTTCCGAAGAAGAGAATTCAGGCGAATGCGAGGGAGATTTTGCCGTACGTGACGAAGCGCTTAAAGTTGATGAAGGCGTACGAGGAGCTGATGTCGGGGTCGAACAACACGTGGGGAACAAGCGGCGACGTTCTGCCTCTGCATCACCTGTGAAGAGAAAGAGACGGAGGGTTTCTGAGGGTGGCGATGAATTAGATGCTGACGATCAGTCGGAAATGTCCTTGGAAGGATGCAATGACGACTGGCGATACCCGGTTCACAAGCAGGTGTACCCTTGCATATGGGAAGAACGTCGTTATGAGGAACCAAAACTTGATCCCGAAAGCCAGTTTCTGCCGGTCTTCAAATACTCTTTCGAAATGCATTACACGAAATCAGCTCGAGGTGGCGATGAAAACTCTTACGTGCCTGATCAAGAAGCAAAGAAACTTGGGTGGCTTAAGGAGGAACATGATCTCTTATCTCTGTTTAGCGCACTATGCCCTGACCGTTCTCAACCTCAAACATTTGACCTTGGCAGGTTCAGGGTTCAGAACTACAAAACTCGTTTGTTAGCTCTTTCGGGCGAGCCAGACTGTCCCCTAAACCGCTATCCTGAGGAAACCAAGGAGAAAAGTGAGCGGTGGTTCTTCCTCCTTCCTCAAGTTGCATGGCCGAATGCACCCGAAGAGGAAGAGGATGCCACGCCTCAGCATGATGATCTTCTGAAGGCACTCTTCATCTTTCAGTCGCTAGGTCGTGCAAAAATCGACACAACCGTTCAGGTGATCACCCTTCCTGAGGGTGGCTACGACCCTGTAGAGGAGTTGCCTTTTCGGCTATGCGCGCATTTCAACGTATCCATCATCGTGCCCAGATTGTATGAACCATTTGACACCAAGGTTTCTCAGAAGCGCGTTTCCGAACTCGAAGAATTACAGAGACGCTTGATTTCTCTGTTTACCCTAACTTCATCGGCAGACCAACAACTATTTGACAGTAAACATGATACAAGGGGGGACGCAAGTATTCCATTCTTCTACGGCATTCTTCGCCCAGCACCCGCTCTTTCGCAAGGCGTGACATATGAGTCCCTTCAGCCTGAAGGCTTGTTGCCAGTGCTCTTACCCTTCCAACGGCGTAGTGTCCAGTGGATGCTCCTACGCGAAGGGAAGACAGTAACTCAAGAAGGCGGTGTCATTCCCCACATTTCTCCCCAGTCCCGGTTCTTCATGCCTCCATTTTGGGAGAAAATTTCTCTCGGGGGCCGGGAGCACTTCTTCAATACGCTCGTCGGCGTCGTAAGCTCTTCTCCTGTAGAAGACAGCGTTGCACTAGGGGGCATACTTGCAGAAGAGCCAGGTACCTCGCAATACTATTGATCTCACTCGCGTTATATTAATGAAGTGCAGGGCTCGGGAAGACAATTGAATGTATTTCCCTCATTATACTGAACCCGGCACCCGATCGCAATCCGACCAATAAACGGTGGGATGCCGAAGCTAAGCTGGAAGTGAAGGAGATCAAGGTAGTGCGCCTACGTGCCATCTGGAATACCAATTGATATAGACTTGTAACAGACTACTCTCATCGTCACTCCCCCTGCGCTTGCACCTCAATGGGCAGACGAGCTTGCTGTTCATGCCCCAGGGCTCAAGGTTCTCATCTACGATGGTTGGTCCAAAGTCGGTGTACCTATCACCCTGGATGATGTCGAAGACGAACGAGAACGACGGTGCACTGGCCAGAAGCATAAAGCTGGGAAAAACGGTTCAGTACAAAAAATCAAGAAAGGGAAGGCAAAGGTAACTCACGACAAGGATGATGACATACTTGATTGGTGCTCCTATGTGAACACATTTGATGTTTGCATCACGACATACAACGTGCTCCGTCAAGACTTGACTGTTGCCCGCGCACCACCCAAACGTTCTCATCGCGCACAGGTGGAGTACTCAAACCTTGACCGTCCTAGAAGTCCACTTGTCATGTGCGAATGGTATAGAGTGATTATGGATGAAGTACAAATGATGGGGACCGGAAAATCCGAGTAAGATCTCTTGTTCTATTGGTGATTAATTGACTGGATGATTCTGGCCTTCAGAGAGATGGTGTCTTTGGTTCCTCGATTATCTTCGTTTGCGGTGTCTGGAACACCAGCTCGTACTCAGGTTTCTGATCTCATTCGTGTTTTAAGGTTAGGTAGACTGACGCGTTTTCTGACGATACACTGATACCACTGACAGGTTCTTGCGTGTCGACAATGTTGTCGGTCCAGCTCGCATTTGGAATCGTTTGATGAAGCACACATTCAAAAAACAATTTGCTGACCTATTTCAACGATATGCTATCCGGTGAGTGATTTCAATGAAGAAATCCTTCGTGTCCTTATTCAACGCATGCTAGAACACTCAAGTCCGCAGTCAATGACGAATTAACCATCCCGCAGCAGCGGAGATATCTCGTTAGTATCGAGCTGGGAAGAGTTGAACGCCACGTAAGTCATGATGCCCTTGCTGAGAGACAAAATATGACGGTATCAAAGGTTTACGATCACCATCTCGAAGCAGCATTAGTTGAAATTGGTTTAGACGCACGCGGAGTTGCTGCTTCTGAGGGATGGCAGATTGACGCTACTCTGCTGCGAAATGTCTTGAGAAAGCTTCGTGGTATCTGTACTCATCCTCAAGTCGGACAGTTGCAGCGGCCAGGTGATAAGCCAGGTGCCCTCAAGAGCATCGGCGACGTTCTCGAGGCATGTGTTTTTCCTCTTTTCTTAATCCGTTGGGCTCATAGATGTCAGGCTATGAGAGACCAGAACTGGCGTAATTTCATGGATGATCGTAAGGCGAAGGCAAGCGTCGTCGTTCTTGGTATCCGTGCTTGCAAGAATTGATTCATCCCCCTTCAGGTTCAAGCCCTTGTTCGCTTTGCCCAGCTCCAACAACACAACGAGCAGAACCTTGATCGATACCAACGTGCTTTGGATTACCTCTTAACGGCAGAGCAAGAAGCAAATGGAATAATCGATGATATTAAAACCACCATAGCAGAACACCAAGTCAAAGGAGAGGCGCTGAAAAACGAAGCGCGAACTCTCCGAGAATCTCGTCAGAAAGACCTCCCGGACCTTTCAAAGACCAACAAGGGAAAAGGAAAACGAGCAATGTCACCTCTCACCGATGTAGATGAGGACATCGATGACGTTGAAGATGTTGAAGACCGAGGTCTTCCCAAGACCCCCGCGGGCGAAGAGCACAGTATCAAGCGGCGGGCCCTGCAGCAGCGCTTACGAGAGTGTCTGATGGTCTTGCACCGTGTCAAATTTTTACAGGGAGATGTGTATCATGTTCTAGGTGCATCGCAGGCAGATAAGGAAGATGCCGCGTATGCTGCAGCTGAGACGCTGCGAAAAAATTTACTAAAATGTGCGTATTCTCAACAGATTTCCTTACATTTCCACTGACAAGGCACGTAGCGACGGAGGAGAGTACCAACAAAGCGATGAACCCCCTGCGTGCCGACACTACTGGACGAGGCGTTACTGAGGAGTCCTTACAAATCCCACTTCCTCTTCTTGATAAAGGCGGAATCAAATCGACGCTTCTCGTGAGCTCCCTTACCAGGAATGTTCAGCTTTTCGTGGATACTGACACTAGTCTGGGCAGTTTGACGAAGCCAATGACATCATAGAGCTCGCATTGAATGAACAGACCGCTCTTCTGTGGGAGTGGCGCACTCGCATTTATGCTTTGTTGACTCAGAAATTGGCAGCAAATAATGACCAAGCCGATGGGGAGGAGTATTCTCGTGCATTGGATACTCAGGGTGAGGCCGAAATATATATGCAGGCATATGCCGCACTGCTTGCGGATCGTAGAGAGGCAATTTCTTCCGAACGAACGCTCCTTGCTGCGCATGATGCACGGGAGCACAAAGTCCGACGAACCAAAGCAGCCGCGAGAGCAGCTGCTCAGGCAATGTCGGAGGATTTCGAGATTCCTGAGAATGTTGAAGTTCAACCTCAACATGAAGTCCTGCACAAAGACCTCACAGAGCAGCGTAAAGATCTCCATGACCAGTTTTCTGGGAGAGCACTCCGATCTATCATGGTCGATCTGAGTGCTGTGGCCGCTCGCATCGCATCTGAGAAGGACCCTGAGAAGGTCATCGCCAAGGATGGCGCAAACTCATTACGAACCTTGATCGCGCAACAAGGTTTGTCACCCTGATGTTGTAGCTACTTCGTACTCACTATGAATGTAGTAGCGCTCATGGACAAGCTCGATGCTGACTTGAGTCAACTACGGAAGATCTTCAACGAACGTATCCTGTACGTAAGTCCACGATCGACGCTGATGCATACTAACACTAGTCTAATACACCCA